TAAAAATAAATAAATTTTTACAATTCTGAATCAATACTAATAATTCCGTATAGCCGCGATATAGCTTTATTTTATATTCTTATAAAAAGAATATTATTTAATATATTTCCAATCTTTTTTTAATAATTCTTCTTTATGAACTACTCTGCTTACTTCTACATATACTATCCCATCAAAAATAGGCAATAATATAGTGTTTTTTAAATAGATTCATTCGAAATATTTAATCATAATAAAACATTTAATGCGCTTATTTCGATTTTTAAATATTTTTTTAGTTTTTCCTCATTTTCTCAAAAAATAGTAAGTGAATCTACAATGTTCTCAAATAATAATAAATCATAAAGCAATCGATAATATGCTATATTTTGTTAATAATAACGACTTTTAATTGGAGTATGAATGATTTCAAGTAATCGTTTACGCGAAAAAAAAGGCGATTATTGTCAAGTTAAAGATGTCTGAAAGATATCTAAAAAAATAAAATATCTTTAGACACTTTTAAGACATATTTTAGAAATTTGTTCTGCTTGGATATAGAAAGGAAGTTTAGAAATTTGTTCTGCTTGGATATAGAAAGGAAGTTTAGAAATTTGTTCTGCTTGGATCATCCTTTGTTCTCACTATTGTCCATGATGCACTATTGTCCTTTTATGGAAGAAAAAAAAATGTTTTATGGAAGAACAAAAAATGTAAAAGGTAAAAATGTAAAAAATGTAAAAGGTAAAAATGTAAAAAATGTAAAAGGTAAAAATGTAAAAAGAACAAAATACATAAAAAGCACTGTGAAAGCATCTTTGACTTATATAATAACAAATGTAAGTAATTTCATATTCAACAATGTAATTGCAATATAGCATATGTGCATATAATAATACATGAAATATATACATAACAGTTACGTTAATTATAATACGAAAATATAACATTGATATGAAGTTATTATTATATTTGACGTTATATAGTTGCAATTAAATGTGTCGACTGGGTACCCACTGTTTAGGAAGTTTTTGAATAAGTTGGTCACTACTAATAGAATATAATAAAGCTCTTAAACAATCATCACAAGAATCAAGACTAGTAGCAATTTTATAACTAACCTATTCTATCATATAATAGATGCTATTATTCTGTAATAATGATAACGTATGTTGACTAATTTCAAATTCTTCTAATGGTTCAATTTCAACTATTATCTTTTTTTTTTTTTAAGAGTTCGATACATTTCGTCGTAATCGGGATAAGAAATACTGGATGGAATCCATAATTACTGGACAACTGAAAGCAATTTCAATGATTGACGAAGCATTGTTGGATCACTATCTGCACCATTTCCCATTCGAATTTGGCTGAAAAAATTTTCTGCACAACTGATACTAAATTTGCTAGTCAGTGAGTATTCCATTTTCTTGAAAAAAAAAAAATTGTGAATACATGTCTATAACTGCTATAATACTCAACTGTACGTTTATCTACATTAGTTTCCTATGGATGTATTTCCATTTTAAAACTGCAATTTCTTAATAATGTCTACAAAAAGATTAAGGAATTCAACTTTTTTTGTGTTCTTCATCTTTCGAAAGCCTTTCTAATTTATTTCTGGAGAACATAATTTTGTTCATAGGCAAAAATCAGAAATTAACCAACAGTCACTGTTTCTTTTAGTAAAATGCCATATTTAACACAACATATTAAAACATTTCCAAGTTTTTCAGAAAAGAATTAAGAGTTTCAACCTACCTACTTTCATTCTTTCGAGTTGTGATGCAGTAATATGACTTTTCTTTTTTAATGCAGCGACTATTCTATCCCCATAATCAATTTCTTGTTTCTCTAGTATAAGAGTTACTGACTATTTTATACTGACTCTGTTGCATGACAAATTGCTAATTATGTTTGATAACAAAATTACATCATTTTTTAACATAATTGTTCATACATTTTTCAATATATAGGACACATTTGCTATACAATTTCCCCAAAAACTGCAGGATGAAGAGACTTAAAACTCACTTGACTTTTCATTAAGTGGATACTATTCATACTCTTGAATGATGAATACCAACGATTATGAATACCGGCCATGGTCAGATCCTATATTTAAAACCATCTTAAATTCATCTTCAGATGTTTCGTATCCATTGAAGCGATTCGCGACATCTGAAAATGAACTTAAGATGGCTTAATGTCATTGCACGTAAAAAAGTCTTAACCGTAAGGTCGTAAAATTCCAACACGTATAATCAAATGAAGCAACACAAATATAAATTCGTAGCCGTAAAGGCCGTAACCGTAGTTACAAAAATCCCGTCACGTTGGAATTTTATAATTAATTAATTCATTCGTTTCATGTCGTTGATTAATCAGAAATCACTAAAAAGAGGGTTCTGCGTGATGACAATGTTATTAAAATGAACATCAGATTTTATAACTACGGCCTTACGGTTACGCTTACGACATTTTTACGTGCATGTTTATGTATTAAATGAACTGGCTGCATTAGTAAGCAATGGTCATCGTTCCTTATCTAACCTAAACGTAGTGTACATGCACTTTCTCAGAGGTAACATCGAGAAACCGTCCGCCAAGATAGCCGCTGTCAGGTTTCTCTATAGACACAATATATCTAGACTGAGCATTGAGGAGTGGGGATCAAGCACATAAAAAAAGATGCACCTTTTGTCTTATATCCTTGCATTTTTTCTCGTCGCGTGACGTTTTCAATTTGCTGACTCGACCCGACTCGGGCTAAGTTAACAAATTGGAGACGCCAATAGACACAATAGATCACGTGAGTGAGAGAGAACGCAAGGACTCAAAACAGAGTATATCCTTTTCTATATGCATCTCGAATCCCTCTCTTTAAATAAAAGCAAACGCTCAGTCTAGGTATATTATGGGTGTTTTCCTGCAAGAAATACAGTGTTACACAAAGCTATTTTATTGGTTACATATTATCTTAGAAGATAACTTAAATCGTTTGTAGCCAATAAAATAACTTTGTGTTCACACTGTGTAATATTATATATCCCGCTGGAAAGCACTCTACGTTTATAAGTTTCTCTCTGATATTACTTTAATCTGCTTTTTTAGCTGAATTGACTGCATTAGTTCAAAAAATTTACATTACATTGAAATTTGAAAGTTACATATGAAATTCTAATGTTTCAGTGTATTTTAAATTTCGCAAATTTCTTGAACTAGTGCAGTCAGTTCTTGTGTCATACAGCCGTTCATTTTATTCTGTCGTGTGCAAATATTCTAAATTTCTATTCCCAATGTTTCATCTTTATTCTTATTCTTAATATATATTCTATTGTACGCAGGGCTTAGGAATTATTGACCATTTTGTTTTGAAAATACAAAGGTGTCAATTTCATAACTTACAGTAATACTCGAAATACATATATATATATATATATGTACATACTTTAAACTTTTATACACCTCTTTTTATTAACTGTACATTTCTACTAGACCAACTGATGCATAAATATAGCATCAATAAAAAAATAAAAATAATATTTTAATTAAAAATAATATTTGCAATATTGTGTATATATCAATTTCTCAATTTCGTTTGAAATTAATATTTATTATTTAAGTAGTGAAATAAATATATAAAAACGTAATTTTGCTTGACATATACTAAGTTTTTGAGCGATCTAATGTAATGAAAATACAACACTTATAATCTCCTTAAAATATTTTGATACTTTTCTAGAAATTTCTAATATCTGAGAAAGATTTGGCGACCGTTTTGATCATCATTGCGTACAAAAACAAAAATATGATAGAAATATAGACATATATAATAGAATTAGTATATCTTATACTTTTACATAGCAGAAAGTGAATTTTGGCAGAACTGTGAGAGAGACAAAATATCGGGGACTATCTGTCTTTTGTTGCGCGCGCACTTTTGACAGCAATGGCAGATTATTGTCGATCAGCTGAATTCATGTTTTAAACATTATTTAAGAAAGTGGAACGTGCGTTTTAACTATAGTCAATCCGAAGGTCAGATAAACGTTTGAACGTGTTTGTACGTGTGAAACGTCTGCGGGCAATATGAAGACGTGAAAATTTTCAGATAATATGAAGATTACGCTTATGCGTAATTCTTGCTGTAAGCCCACGCCAATGGCTGTCAATAAACGATTGCGCATTCGACCTGCGCCGACAAGGAAAGACAACGTCCCCGATATCTTCCCTCTCTTACCGTTCTGCCAAAACTCGCATCCCGAGTCTATTACATATATCTATGGATAGAAAAAAAACGCATTCGCGTATCATAACGGACACAAATCCGCCAAATAAGAAATATTTGCACAATTAACGAATGAACACTCTTTCATCTCGTATCATTACCTCCCTTTTCATGTTCATCGCTGAACTTTAGCACAGCGCCCCGAATACGAAACGCGAGTTCGGATTTCATTGATCACTCCTGCGGAATCTGTTTTCGCGCGAAGAACTAATTAGCGCGCCAGATACATGTCGTCCCGTGCGAACAGACAGTCCCGTCGTCGTTCGATATTCGGAAGAACCGAGACGCGTTTCGCGGCGAAGCGCGTTGGCAGGGCAAGCGATGCGTATTAATACGTGTGTCGTGTATTCTCTCAAGTGAAAAGTTGCTTGACGCAGGGTGGATGCAAGGAAATACGGCATTGTTGCAACATATCTCTATTCAACACGTTTCCGCGTTGACAGCCTAACCTCCAAGCCGCGGGGCTAACGTGTACAAGTTATCGTACAAGTTTGTGATAAAACTCATGCTCTCTTGTTAGGAATATCAATATTCGGTACGAGCCAAGGAGCAATACCGCGCATGTGGCATCACGATGTGCAAGAAGTCGGTCAAAACGATTAAATGGCCGAGAAGTTTCGAATGTTAAATTGCTTCTACCGATAACACACGACGCTATGTGACAAATCAAAAAACGATTCACACGAGATACGCGATCAATTCGTCGCTTTTCGCTTCCCATAGATCTTTCCAAGATCCCCTAGGATCTTCCGAAGTTTACTTCACTCACCTCACGTTCCGGGCTTCGTTCACGTTACGTCGTGCGTGTTCGAAAGAATATTATTCACATTGCAAACGTTAAAGAAGTTACGATTTACATATTTACAAGTTTAAAATAATTTAAAAAATAGTGTGTGTGTGTGTGTGTGCGTGTGAAAATCGTCGAATCAAAGAAACTTCCATCCGTGTGTGGTAACGCGTTCGAAATTTTCACGATGTAAAAGAATGCGTGCAAATTCATAAACGGATGACGTGACCTATTGAAGTTAAAAAAAACACACACACATATGCATAAGTGCGATTTAGCAAGGTGAATTTATCGCATAATCGAATAGGAGGAGGAAAACGTATCGTATCACAACTCGGATTATCGAGCTGCAAAGTTTACAATTATTATGTGTATGCCGGCATGTATACGCGGGACATCGCGAGCTGAATGCTCGTATTTGTTGCAAGTGCCGCTCAGTCTTCCCAGCGTACCGTGTGAAAATGCAATAATCGCGAATTATATATCGTCGTGTTGTATACTTACTAGAGGAAACAGCCAAGCGTCGGTGCAACGGTACTCGAAGCGATGTTTTCAGCAACCTCCTCGTGGAACCAATAACCGTTGCCTGCCTCGAGTGAGACAGTGACAATTGGTGACGCCAGGTGAACCCGAAAGGTTATTTTACGCGCCGACGATGCTTTATATACTGACGAAATATCGTGAACGCACAAATCCGCTTTTAAAGTTACGCACAGCCGCCATTACTAAGGATCAGAGGAGGACTGGCACGGTTATACGGCTCGTTCTGTACTATTTGCGCTCGGTTTTCTCTCTCTTTCTTTCCCTCTCAGTGCTCGAGTATATATCCGATTCGCTCTCGGTGTATAAAGTGTAGATGTGCGCGCGCATCGGATCCGTCGTATCTAGTCAATGGTTACGTTCAGCAGAACGTTTACTTTACAACTTAGAAGTTTTCCATATTGAGATTAAATTATTCTTCTAAAAGGATAGTTCAAACTTATCTCAGAAGACGTCCATATAGTTACAAAATAAACGTTCTGCCGAACATGGCCAATCATGAGAATGTTGCAAAATCTTTTTCGATGAATTTCACAACACGTATGTAATAGGAAAATACATCTCATGAGAATTACTAGAAAATCAATTCTCCTGTTGGACACGAGATGCGTTCCGAAACTTCTATAAAAAAAGTGCCGCAACTTTTTTGTGACTGACAGACGGTTAGGGTCCACTTCACAGTGCAAATGTTTGGAATAGACCAATCGTATTTTTTCTTTAAGGGTTCCTAAACGTTTGTAACTTGAAATGGGTTCTATCCCATAAGCATAATCTTGTTAACGTAAATTGCTTTTTTCGAAGTCTATTAATTTTTTAACCGTTCTATAATCGATATTCATAATCAGATCTTGTACTTATGATCGGCTTAAATTCATTTTCAAGCGCTGATACGGATCGTTTCATTGGCTATGATGTATCTGAAAATAATCTTAAGGAGATCCTGAAATCGCCTTATTTTATCACAAATGTTTTAATGCTATACTCGTTTCTAGCTACACAAAACTAAAAATCCTTTTGCACAATTACAATACACACGTTAACCCATTTCGTTCTTCTATTCCTATATAGTAAATTTACTTATGTTAACAATGTTGTTATCTATGATAAAGGTAGATTCTAACCTAGATTTTGTTACTGAAATATAGTTTGGACTTATACTTTTCAGAAAATAATTTCATCTATCACTCTTTCCGGTGGTAGGCGAAGGTGGAAAATAATCTTGCAAAACACTCCTTTTTAATCAATTAATTAAAAATAAAATTAAAAATTAAAAAAATGAGATATTGTTGCCTAAAGTTCAAATCGTCGATAATGACGATTCCTGTTATGATATGACTCGCTCTGTGAGTTTTACTCAAGATAGATATTCCGACTATTTTCTGAGGAAAACGGCTGGTCGGAAAATTCAGATCTTAGATTTTTTGAGTTCCTTAGGTCCCAGTTACACTAAAACGATTGGATCTCATGGATCTCAACATTTTCGAAGTCCGGCTTGAAATGGATTAATGTAGGCAAGGGGACGGCTGACTTTATTCGAAAACCGAAATTATATAATTTGTTAATTTTTTCTGTTTTTCGAACAAAATCAAATGTCCTTGCCTACATTAACATGTGTATTGCGCAAAAGGATTTTTAATTCTGTGCAGTCAGTAATGAGTATAATGCTAAGAAATTTACAATAAAATAGGACGACTCTAAGATATTTTTAAGACAATCTTAAATATAAGAGCTGACTATGAATACCAGTCTGTGTGATACTGTTCTACATTTGAAGTAACATATGCATATGCTCGGGATGATTATTCTCTATACATATTTAGATCTATGATACGCGTACAACTGTCTCGCTTTACAAAAAAATAATCTATGGATCTATAATGGAAACAGTGGAGTATCTCCACGGATGCTAATTGCGTGTTAGGCACTTTCATTTCTTAAGCTAATTTTTAAAGCTAATTAGTAGTTTGCTAACAAGTTTACTCACAGGTAAAACGATCCTTGTCTGCTTTTCCTGTTGAAGACGAAGGTTTATTTTTCACACGTGCAGTTGAAAACAGCAAACAAAGACGTTTCAGTACGAACCACCACTTCTCGGTCGCGCCACGAGAACATTCTCGACTTATATTGGATAAGAATCCAATGACGAACGAGATGCACGAAAGTACAGAAAGTACATTTGGAAAAGAGCAGAAGGTCGATTGTCAGCGGTTTCAATTTGCTGACTCTCAAATCGGATAGCGTTTTGATAATCGCTGCAGCACTACAATGGCTATGTTCAACAGAAAAAGCAGCTTTAAAACTGTTGCAAAGATGCTTTCTCGGCTGAACTTAGCCAATGTATAGGTCTATTTTCTCACTGAACTAATGTGCACTTAGAACGATATTCATAGTTGGATCTTATATAGTTTATCTTCTATTTATCTTCAGTTTATCTTCAGTTTATCATCTTAAGTTTATCTTCAGATGTTTCGTAGCCAATGAAATGAGCCGTATAATATCTGAAGATAAACTTAAGACAGTCTTAAATATAAGATCTTACTATGAATATCGGCCTTACGGAATTTAAAAATAGACGGATATACAGTTAAGATTATAGACATAATATATCTAAACCATAGATATAATATCTAGACTGAGCCTTTGCCTTTGTTTAAAGAAGAGCCGTACGTAGAAAAAGATGCACTCTGTTTTGTGTTCTTGCGTTCTCTCTCGTTCGCGCATGCGTACTGTACTGTAACGATTATTGGAACTCTGTCCGAATTGGGTCGAGTCAGTAAATTGAAAACGGCAATATATCTCAAAACGTAAACATTGCAAAAGTGAATAAATTTACTAGGTATTGACTAATGAAGTTACAAATATTCTAGTAAATTCGCTCACTTTTGTAACTCACTACGTTTTAAGATACACAATCAATTCCCTAGACCCTTATTCTTTAAATAGTTACGTACGTTTGTTATGTAATGCAGGTAAGAACGTATCATAAAATAACTGCACAATGACACGTGTACACAATCATTTCAACATAAGGATCTAAATCTGCATTATAAAAGTTAATTTTAAAGGGGCTATAAATAGAAACAGAATTTTGAGACAAAATAATAAATTTATGCATGCATCTAATGTCAAATGTAATGTCTTTTTAAATATTCTTCTCGGAATATAATTTTTCTATGAAATTGTTAAAAAAAAGAAAATTCCCTTTGTCCTCATATGTAGTTGGTTACGAAACAAATTAAAGTTAATTGTTATGGCGACATTCCTTTACGTCAAAACTAGTTAACGCGTTTTTCGTCCGAAAAATTAATAAAAGAAGTGAGTAGCAACAGTTAAAGATATTTCATTCCGAAGACAATGGATTTTGTAACAAACGGATTCATTAGCCAGCTATTCACTCTAGGAGATAGATAAGCAATAAGAATTAAATGATTATTATGTCGCTTATTGGACTGTCTCTCTCTCTCTCTCTCTCTCTGTGTGCGCGCGCGCGCACGCGCGTGTGTGTGTGTGTGTGTGTGAACAATAATTTTCCGGCCTTTGTTCATAATCTCTTTGAACGCTGCGGTCCTATGAATAAGATGTGAAACCCTGTAGATTCCGGTGAATCTAAATTTCTTTCCCTATGGCATGCGAAAATGATCTCTGCGTTAGTCCGTGACGACTCGGTCATTCGGGGTAGCGTGACATGTTTTGCGACGTTAACGTTATTGGAAATTCGTCCTGTCGAGATTCCATCGATATAAGTGGCTCTTTTCCACTGTTAAAACGAGCTGGCTGATCTCCGTGAGAATAGCGCAGTCGTGCAATGGCGTAGGAGCATTAAGTGGCGTCGTACGACGTGTTTTGCAGTATCAGCTGATGGACTTGATGTACCTTTCGCGTTATCAAAACACGAGTGCCGTCGCAGCGAAGTCCGTCTTAGTGTATTATGGCAGTACAGGGTGTAGCGACGTAGTGGACGTCGTAACACGACAACGTTCGTTGTCGTCACTAGCGAACCTGAGCAGCAAACCTATTTCTCGCATTAACGAAGACTCGTCGACTCCATATCAGCTGTCATTATCAAATTATATCCTAATCTAACACATCTCCGAATCGTGTGCTTGAGATTCGTGATTTTGTGTGCTACGAACCGAATTGCATCTGCATTTCCAATTTGTTGTTACAAACGTGAGTTAACTAGAGAAAGAGAGAGAGAGAGAGGGAAGAAGTAGGGAGAACGTGACGAGACACCCAGCATTATCATCGTAGATAAATACACGTGTGAGTTTAAAATATGCATGCCTTCGTCGTACTGCACAGAGATTGTTTTCTTTTCCATCATCTGTGTGCGTATGTGTGTTTTGTTACGAACAAGAGGCTGCCGCTATGTCACCCGTTGCATCATCGGTTCATCGTCGCCGATAATCGAGTTAAGAATCGCGAAAACGTTAAAACGAATCAACGACGAAGTGGTTAATCATCTCCCCGCGACTCCTCCATATTATTCGTAGTTACACTTTGACCTGACGTGATTTTATTTTTAAAGCTGAGACTCCATTTCTCGTCCGGGACCTCCATATTGTATTTCAATTAGTATTTTAAAATTTGCTGCAACGAAGTAATGAAACAACGATCACTATTGCAGAATTAGGTAGAGAATGTTCAGACGAGTGTGTCTTATACTTGGTCCTAATTATTTTTTCAGATAAAATTACAAAATTATTTTTATAACTGTTTACTGTCTTACATAAATGCAGTCTGGGTACTGATATTCTAAGATTTATAAATATAGCTTCCCCTTACTGTGTTTTTCATAAATACATGCTTCTTATCATCTTGATATTTGCTTTGCCTTGACAACCCAGGAGACTAAAATTGTCTGCTGTCTTCCTGAATTTATACATTTATATGATGGTTTATTAACAAACATTTGACAAATGTGTTAATAATATTTACAGAATACTTAATATTTTGTAAGCATGGGAGGAGCAGTGAGCAGTGGGCAGGACAATGATGAATTAGTGGATAATTTAATGGAATCTGGATATATCAAAACAAAGAAGGTGGAACAAGTTTTCAGAGCTGTGGATAGAGCTGATTATGTTTTGTCCTCTCATAGAGAGAGCGCTTATAAGGATTTAGCGTGGAAACATGGAAATATACATTTATCAGCTCCATGTGTATATAGCGAAGTAATGGAAGGTCTCAGTCTAGAACCTGGCTTAAGCTTCCTGAATCTTGGATCTGGAACTGGCTACCTCAGTACAATGGCAGGACTGTTATTAAGTAAGAACAATATTGTTTCAACAAATAAACACCGGATATATATGTGACATTTTTCTATTTTTTTTTAGAACAACATGGTACAAATCATGGTATCGAGTTACACGAAGATTGTCTAGACTATGCAAATAAAAGGCTGGAAGAGTTCAAACAGAAGTCATTGGCATTGAATGAGTTTGATTTCTGCGAACCATTATTCATACAAGGTAAAATGAATGATCTTCAGTTCAATAAATTTTAATGTTTTTCTAGAAAAGTTGTAGGCTATGTATTTTGACAGTAAAAAAAGCAGAGCTACCATTTCTCGTCGTCGTGCGAATTTTAGTTTGCTGTCTACTTAGCTGCAAGCTAGGGAATTTTTTTCTGTGTAATAATAATCGGCTAAATAGCATACGTCTCTGTTAATGTAGTGATTGTAAATTCTGACTGTTACTGTGGTATTGAATTTATCTTTAATTCGACACACGGCTTCAAATTCAACAGGAAACTGTCTCAGCATCATACCTGGAAGACAATACGACCGAGTATACTGTGGAGCAGCTTGCCCCGAAACTCACGAGGCGTTTATCAAACAATTTGTCCGTATTGGCGGTATACTAGTCATGCCCTACAAAGATCATTTGATCCGTGTGGAAAGGAGGGACGAGAATACCTGGACTCACGACAAGATGCTTCCCGTATCGTTTGCTAATCTAATTGTACCTTCAATAGCGGAGCATAATCTACTTCACTTACGTACGTAATTTATGCAGAATCTAATTTTTTTGCCTCCGTCTCTTGTCTTCAACTCTTTACACGTTGCTAACCATCGAGGTTTCCTCCTTTTACCATGGATGGTAAACGACCGATTTCATTGTAAATCATTATATCGAGGACAGCTCCAAATTCATACTTGATATGCTCACAACGAAGTTCCTAACGAGTTGCATTAAATTCTGTGTTGCAGCGGAATGCGACCCCTTGTCTCTACAGGAACTGTGCCGCGGTAAGATCAGACATCGCCTGCGTGAAAATATCTGGAACGAACATGCCGATGTAGAGACCGAGAAACCTATAATCTCGGGGCAACGGAAGCCAAGCCCACAACAGCACACTCTCAGACGTTTCGTCATACCTATCTTCGAAGAAGCCGACGAGGTTTTGTCCGACGATGAGCAAGACTATCCGAGCGCGCTGTCCGAGCGCCGAGCGCGCTTCCTGCTGAATGTTGACGCCGATACCGGCGAGGCTATCACCACGACTCTGCAACTGGTGCGCGCGGTCATACAACCGAATCCGACCGAGGGTCAGCGAGAAAATCAGCGAGAAGATGCGAGGACCGTCAACGAAGACGCTCGAAATACTAGGGAAACGATTCGAGAGGACAGCCGTGAGCACAATCGCGAGGATGCTCGGGAGGCTGCGAGCAGCACGAGCGTCGACGACAACCAGCGCGAGCAGAAACGCAAATCCAGCAAGAAGAACTCCTCGAGCGCGAACGAAGACACCACGGGTCATCACAGTTCCACCGAGCCCATCGACACATGCAATAACAGCAGTGAGGCGCGAAGCGAGAGAGAGATCTCGTCGACCGCCGCAACGTATTCCAACATGAGCGAGAGCGAGAGCGACGCCGAACAGGAGGGCGCTTTCGTGAAACGCAATAAAATTCTGAAACGCAAGAAGACGGACAATGGCGTGATGGAGGACGCGAATCTCAGCAATGAGGAAGGCAGTCAGCCCTCCAGCCAATCATCCAGCCAGTCCTCCAGCCAGTCCTCCAGCACGAACTTCAGTACGAACGCTAATCACGAGGACTCAGATGTCACTGATACGATGGACATAGACCTGCCCCCCATCTCAATCAACAAATCATGCAGGAACATGTACGGCTCTCTGTCGAAAGACTCTACCTCCAACGACAAGGAAGTCGTTGGCCACTATGTAGATAGCAACGCGTTCGCCGGTTACATGAAAGAGAAGATACAACAGTTACCGTTGCCTTTCTCAGTGAAATTGTATGTAAATTACAACCGGAAATTCTAAGATAAGCAAAATACCCATAACATATATTCTCTTATTTAAACAAATATATAACTTTTTATTACACAGAACCAACTCGTCGTCTCTTCCTTCGATCGTCGCTCGCACACGAGCGTCCCGAAATTATTACGTAATCCGTGCGAAAGAGTGCTGCCTCGTGTGCCAAGTGCCGATGTGTTCTAAACGGGTTCCTACCTCGAGTCGTTTCGTGTCTTGAAAAATGCGCTCACGCACCGCTAATAGGCCTGTTTTGGTTGTCAATGAGTCATTAATACGCAACTTCTTTTTCAGTACCGGCTAGTTGTCATATCAGTAGGTTTATTCTGTAAATTTCAATGACAGTTTCGTTATTGTGTTGCGTCGTTGACGCGCGGATGTGTTATGTACGGTAGAAAAGCTGCGCGATGACAACGTAACGTGAAACAACATTGTCGTTAAAAATTACAGAATAGTACTGTATTCTGTAAGTGCTAACGACAGTGTCGTTGCACAGGTGTGACATATGGCGGAAAAGCTGCGTAATGACAATGACATTATTGTTAATAGTTACAGAATACAAGCACAGTTACCGTACTATCATTCAACGTAGACGACGTAGGTCACGATGTAGCGGCGCGGATAATGTAAACACTTCCTGATTGCGGACGCTCCACCTTTCCTGAAATACCATTCCGCGCGACTCCCGCATGATGTACCTGTAATCTACAGCTTTAGACTCCCGAGACAAGATTCCTCCGACTTTTCTACGGATTAGTACGCCACGTGTACCTGCTAATCCCAAGAATACCTATCCGAATCCGTGGACCCGGACAAATCTCCAAGGTATTATTTCAGTCAATCAGTTTCCACTCCCTTCCCCGACGCTATCAGAACATCGATCTCCTCGTCGTGATTATTTCCCCGATCTAACACATCACAGATGAAACGAAGAGGAAAACTAGACAGCTCGAGGGATACACGCATGTTCGCGGAGGCCGCGAGACGGAATGTTCGATTTCCCAGCGAACACCAACCAAGTGACAACAGTAACATAACATCAGTGCTATAATTTCCCACTCAACGATATAAATGCAATATTACGCGTGTTATGTAACAGTTGCGTCGTTGAACGGGAAATAACAACGTTGATGTTATGTTACTGTTGGTTGGCGTTTACCGATATAAATACAATATAACGCGCGTGTTATGTGACAGTCGCGTTGTTGAATGCGAAATTACAACATTGATGTTATGTTACTGTCGGTTGTTGCGTTACTGTCCACTGTGTTCGTGCTTGTCGAGTTAGATCCATGGTCTGTTCTTTATAGCTGAACTGGCTGCGGTAACAATTCACCAAGTTTACGCATAGTCTTGTACGTGCACTCCAAACGCTTGAATGTGTATGTAAATTTCTTGAACTAGCCGGTTCGGCCATAAGGAACAGATCACTGGACGGCGAAAAGATACGAGACTTTTGGACTGATATTCCAGATACGTGGGGAACACGCACGATCTCGACGAGGGATGTTGGACACCTTCCGTTGACACACACACACACACACACACTGGAACGTCTGTAGACGCGGAGCGCAGCTTAGTCTGCGTGGGGTGCACTGAGGGTGCGCGCGGGCAGATTGGCGGTGCGCGGAGGAGGCTGACGCCCAGCGGCTGGACAGATCGCGCGGCTCCGTGTATCCGGCGTGATAAGCGAAGAATCGGTATCGGTACATGCACGTACGACCTTGTTGACGACGAAGGTCGTGTCGGATCGCTCGTCCTCGCTCGTTTCTCGACGGAGTCTCGCGCGAATCTGCTCCCGTCGTTCTCCCGATGATGCACGATGGGGTCGATGGGAATGCACCGGATAACCACGGAGATTCGCGCCCGACGTGGTATTCGCGAGTAAGCCCCGCTACCAGCTGCTGCTTGTGCGCGACGAGGTATCGACGCCGTCATGCCGGAGTGCCGCTGACGCGAAAAGACGCGAGAAGGGTGGCCGATTGAACACGGCGAGGAGGCGACAGCTCGGCGGTCGTTCGCACTCCGGAGTATCGCGATAACGCGCCGAGTCCACGAGCAAGGTGAGCTCTGCGGATGTTGTGCGTTAACGCGTTGTTTACTCTCGACGCGGCCGGATTTATCGCGTATCGAAAGACAAACCGTTTCTTATTGATTTAACGACGTCCGGGAGATTTTCGAAGTCGCCGCGACTTTACTCGCTTCATCCTCGCGCTCATCCGTGATTTTACCGGAGAAGCGAGCGACGGATTATCCGCGCGTGTACGAAACGGTCCTTCCCCCGGAGTCTCGCGCGAATATCGCAGCGAGTTCGTTGAGAAGAGAAAAGAAGGGAGACGCAACGCGGAGTCGAGAGGCGAGGTGATTTTTCAAACGCACCTTCACGACAGAACGGGCGATTTCTCTCATTGTTTCCGCGCTTCCGTCGGGGAAATCGCTGTCCCGTCTCGTAATATCGCGCTCACTATTCATCCCCGTGTTTATCGAGGAACGACGTCGTAAATCCCAACCACCCCGAGAGTCTCGGATGTTACTGCGGCTCTCATCGCGACGTAGTTGTGTCGTAAACCCGAAACCCGAGAGATTCCGAGGTTCTCCGCGATGTGAGTCTTCGGGAACCCCCGTTTCACCTTTCGCTCACCATAATTGCCGCATTCTCTCGTCTCCCGGCGATACTCGACGCTATTGCGCGCCTTTGTCGTCACCACGTCGCGCACCATGATTTCCTTCGTAGACTCGTCGAACGAAGATGAGGTCGACCGCAACCGGCGTCTTCCTGCTCCTGTGTCTCACCTGCGCCCGCTTGCCGCCTGCCACCACGACCTTCGACCCGTACTGCGGCGATCACCTGGCGGGCCCGCGGGGCGTCATACACACGCCGAATTTCCCCGGGCCCTTCCCGCTGCCGATCAAGTGCCGCTGGGTGATCGACGTGTCCGACATCCCGTCGACCAACAGCTCCATCGTCGTCTACCTGACGCAGCTCTACGTGTACAAGGGGCTACGCTTCACCGAGTACGCGTACTACGAGTCCGAGACCATGAATTTCGGCGCGGCCCTGGTGAAGGAGGTGACCGAGGGCAACGTCTTCGAGTACCGTCAACTGAGGACCTTCAGACCGTTCCTGGTCGTCGAGTTCGAGCTCGACCGCTTCGAGGGCAACCACGTCCGCGTGTTGAACGACCTCCTCGACGTGTACGGGTTCAACGTGACGTACGAGATGACCGAGGAGCAGCCGAATCCCGAGTCCTGCACTATGCGCGACTGCTCCTTCGCGGGTAACTGCCTCGTCTCCGCGGACTATGTGTGAGTCTTCTTAATCCCTTTGTAGGATTACGTACCGCTGTATCGTCTTGCTGGGTGTCCGTATGCGAGCGTCCCTGTGGTACTCCGACATACAGGATCACCCATAATTTGTAGTATAACAAAGAAGGAAACGATTCCTTATGAAAAAATAACTATGGAGAATTAACTGCTTACATGTATATATATATATATATATATATATTGCCAATTAAAAATCACCTTCTTGGATATTAATATAAAAACAAGTATATTGGGAAGATTTATTTCTACAATTATCATATATTTGTATAGTTTAAATCAATATGAACAAAAAAGTTCTGTACCATTTTGCAAGTAACACGCAAATTTTGGAGTTACTCATTAGGCTCGCATCACACCTTGTATAATTAATTAATTAAGATATATAATGTGAATTTCTTCTATTTCCATCTGCATGCAAAGTAACTTGTAATGTTCTTTTCAATGAACAGTACACGAGCGGGTAGATACTTCGTGAGACACTTTTCTTGTTACACGTAATAAATGACGTAATTACTGACGAAGTCCATATTTTATATTTCGAGTTTGATGAATCTATGCTAGCGTTAAGACGATATTAATTAATTCCTTTGCAAGTATAATATTGGTTAAAAGTGAAACGAGTTCGCGATGCGCCTGCGTTGGCAAAGTTAAGGAGAAGCTATTAGTAAGCTTCAGCAGCTTGCGAAGTAAGCATTAATGGGGAATTAATTCGGTTAATGAAAAAATGCAATGGGGAATTAATTCGGTTAATGAAAAAATGCAAGGATCGAGAGGGATTAAATGGGTGAATGCATTTGAAATGTTAACGAAACGAGCTTACGCTGTGAGAAAGCTGCCGAGTTCAATGATTAAAATTCTCGCGGTTGTTTCGCAAAAATCGTTGTGCTCAGCCCCGAGCCGTAAGCATACTGAATGCAACTCTGTTTTTATTCGCGTCTCCATTCAGGAGCGATGTTTTATTTAACTGAGCGGAAAGAAGAGAGAAAGAGAGAGAGAGAGAGAGAGTTAGCAGAAATCTGAACGGATTAACTGGATTCGCGTTGAATTCAAATTTGCCTTGATATGGTAAAGAAGCATCTGCGCCCGGGTTGTTTAATAGACGCGATATAGCCTCGTGAACTCGCTGTTTACCCAACTACCTCGATTCGTGAAAGCTCTCGGAAACTTACGCTTTAGGGAGTAAACACGTTAAGGTATAGAACGCCTACCAAGTTCTATCGCGGGAATACGGCTGTTCATGAATCATTAATGATCTTTCGCTCCCTTCAATTTGTCCACTAATCCTGGGATCTCCTCTCTCTCTCGCAGATCTTTCTGGTGCGACTGTTTCGACGGTTTCAGCGGGAGAAACTGCAACGAGGGTCCGTTGTGTTTCAACGATCAACACAGCCCGGTTTGTCAAAACGAGGCTATGTGCAGGTATGAAACGACATGTATCAGCATATTGAAAAAATTTAATCTTTGCAATGAATGAAGAAGCATGCACATGTCTCTTTACACGAAACAAACCATAAATATTTCTGAATGTTCTTACAATATTAATGCATAGATTGAAAAATTGAATTATTTTTCTCGCTTAATGAGATGTATCGTTATTTTTGAATTCGTTTACATTGTATTGGAACAACAATTGGAATAGTGCAAGCTGATTCTGCTCGAATTCTTTCCCAAGTAGAAGTTAAACAATTTTTATTTCTCAAGTTATTCGTTGATGATAAAATTCACAGAGTTAGTAACCGGCTGCTTTGTTTGTTTCAGGCAAATCGGAGCGGAAGCAATGCACTGCGATTGCTTGGACGGCTACGTCGGTCACAGTTGCGAAACTCGTCTTCTGGATACTTTGGACACTGGTAACGTTTTATCTCGATTAGACGATTGCATTTTATTTCGGTAGCGCTCGTCCCGCATTCTTTGCGCTTGCTTATCTTCGCGATACGGCCGGCCGAAGTACGATTCTGTTGATACACGAAATTCCTTGGAACTGCACGAGGTCACGGATTTAACTACGATTAATTACGCGTGTTTTCGTAGAATGCGCTTCGGAGAATTGTATACTGCAGTGTCCTTTCGACGAGGAACAGCAGCCGTGCACCTGCAAAGACGGCACGAAAATATACAACAGTAAGTCTCGACAAATGCCTTACACATTTGATAATTTATTGCGACACTTATGCAAGAAATGAATTTTTTTTTCAATAAATCAGAAATACACAAATCCCTTCCACTTATCGTTCCGCTAAGTCAAAAACTGTTGGTGATTCGAACGTTATAGTTAAGCAAAAACGTATTTTCTATTTCAACCGAAGAATTCGCTAATAAAAAACGCAGCAGACTTAGGGCATATGCATAATGTATAAAATGACGATAAAATGTCAAAATGACAACACTCACAAACTAAGCCAGTAAGAGCCAAATTTCTACCAAATTAAACTGGAATGCTCTTGGCTTTACTTCCTTCTTTCTCTTTGTTATTTAATGTACGAATTTTGTGTTCGCAGATCGATCGCGATACGAGTGCAGGATCAAGTTGTCGAACGTGACGTCTCTCCGCACGGGTCCGGTGTCGCAGCACGGCAGCCTGGAATCGTTGGTCAGCAAACAGGTAAGCAAACTCGAAAATCAGTCTGAGGCAATTTGCGCGAACTTTGCGATGAAAGAATACGAATTGCGTCTAACAGCGATCGTTTATCGGAATGACGCACACTTTGCGCGGTGGAACGACGCGCTCGGTAAATATTTGCGATAAACGCACGATTGCACGGCGCAGCGCTTCAGCGCAGCTGCATTTTTACGCGAAAACGAGATATGCAATTCGTTTATGTAACGAGTATAGGATTCCCTGCTATTAAAATAACGCGCGCCACGTATGCGCGCGAACGCGCCTCATATACATTTTGCCGGGAACAATATCGTTAAGACTTCCCCGCGTAGAATAATGCCTGCGGTTTAACGTAGGCATCGTAATTGTAGCCGGCATCGTATAATTGTAGCCGGCATTTGGTGAGTTTCGAGCCACAGCTGTTGTACCTGCACACAGTTACACGTGGCCAATCACAATTGTCGTTACGATTTTCACGCGATTACGTCAATACGCTGATGAACGTGCGTTGCTTAGACAGATATATGTGCACATTATTTACGAATATTATGCAGCTCTCATAATGATGGATTCTACGATCGAGCGAGTTGTTTAAATTTAAGTAAGATTTGGGTATATCGTTTGTTTTGCCATAAAGAAATATTTATTATGTCGGGATGAAATATTTTATATTCTGAACGTATTATATATAGGATGTTAAATTTTAAACATAACAGGCCGATTATCTCGGAAATGAAATGAAATATCGAGATGAGGTTTTTTTTAGATCGTTTGAAGGGGAACGAATTTTGAAAAGAATTTGAATGGAGGCGTAAAAGTGAGTTAGTCAAATTAATTTTTTTAAATGGAACTCTAATTTTTTAAACATCTATGTTTGTAATTCTTCTCATGACGAATTCAATGACTACACATCCGAGGCAACTGAAGATTAAATCACAGAAAAAAGTATTCAGAAGAGAAAAAAATATACTTTCAAAGAACAAAGAAGAAATAAACTTTATTAATAAATTTTCAAATAAGAAAAAATGTCTTAGAAGTCAAATCTTAGAAGTCAAATTCTTTTCATCAAAATTTGTCCTTCTCCAAACAATACAATCTAAAAAAACCGAACCTTGATATTTCATTTAGTTTTCGAGATATTCGGCCTGTTACGTTTGAAATTTAACGCTGCGTATACATATATATTTTTTTCGAAAATTAATAAACGAGCGAATATATGATGAAAATGAACACGAGTGTTTCTCGGAACAATTATTAAAAAAATACATTGCCAAAAAATAAATTATTTAAAAAGGTTAAAAATTGAATTAAAAAAAAAAGTAAATCAATTTCACTGAAGCTTCGCAGAAAAATCGTGTCCAAGTTTCTCTCATTGCCAATTATTTTCAATCACGCCAATTATTTTCAATCACTTGAATTTGTCATTCAAGAAATGTTGGTATTAGTGGTACGTACAAAATGCAATTTTCCTCGATAACATAGCTACGTGTATAAGTGTAGCTATTTCGGTCACTTTGTTCCGGCCGCAAACTCCCACACGGTGGCCGTGTCGTAACCATGATTCTCTCTCTTAACGTTCTCCGGCAAGGAATATCGTCGCAACAATCTCAATCGTTTCTTGAGATTCTCGGTTAAGCCGTGCCTTCCTGGGTCTCCCAGGTAAATTCGCGCACCTCGTGCGTGCGCGTTTTCCAACCACGTAATTAGGATGTTCGTTATTTCCTCATCGTACAGCAGATCGCCAACGAAGATCATGTCGTACAGGTCTTCCGGTGGTCTTTTCAGCAGGTTCTCCCACGACACTTCGATATCCACGTCATTTAGCATGGCGTTCATCGCGATAGCTACGCAGGCGACTGAAATCCAAAAAGCAACATATTATTTTGATGATTATCACGTGATCTTTAATCGCCGATACTGTCGATATGTAAAATTCAGTGGAGATTTTAAAACGTTTCACGTGGAAAGACGTTTAGGTGGAAAGAATTTTTAATTTTGACACTTTCCAAATGCTCCAACATAGAGGAAACATCAAGTTGGATTGATAAAATCAGCGGTCAACATTGTTGAAAAAAGACTATACACCGGATAAATTACGCGTTATTAGATTCCGACTAAATCGCAAACTTTAAGTTTCAATTACTCATTACAACAATTTATTCAACGAGCTAATCGTTGTGCTTGAAAAAATCTCGCTTGTTTAAGCAAAATTTCGTTGACTCTACCACTCTTTTTCAATGAAATCCTCTTTTTCAGTGAAACCTATAACGGAACGTCGAAAAATTTACGCGTAAAAATTAACGCGCGCAGCAGTATTGAAAAAAGATACGCGTGTAACACAGACACATAGATTTAGAAATTGAGCGGGTGATACTGTTCATGTCGTCTAATTGCTTAAAAAGTATCTCTCTCATTTTGCGGCCCGATCGTAAAGCATGTTCCTACACAGGTAACTGACCGTGTCGCGCGCGCGTGCATTTATCAGTAACTCCCTAACTCTGACTCATACACTCTATTAATATCGTAATCGTGAATATTTGTCTCTCACGTTCCTGCATATGTTCCGCTGAATTAGCTTCATTGTCCCATCGTAATGCTAGGCATCGACTGATATATTGGCAACGGACGCACTCACGAATCGTGCGTCGATTCATTTCTCGACGGAGCAATCGTTATTTGTCACGACTTGACAATTTCTATTGTTGAATATCTCGCTAAACGAAGAACCTCAGACGGAAATTCTCTCGGATAAGAAGGAAAAGATACTCCTCCTCGGTTATTCGCGAACGAACGTCAGAGATCCTCTTTGACGTGCGTTCTCAATTAATCGGGGGAATGGTATTTCATTTTCTATTTTTATCTTTCAAGTTCGACGCTACCTCAAGTCTAATCTCGTTGTGCTTGCAATTGAAATATCATCGAAAACTCGACGGGGAAATCCGTCCGTTTCGATTCAGTTGCGGGACACACTTCCGAAAACGCCGCCCGATAATTGCCGCACGTCAATTTCGCGCGATATCGCTCTGCGAAAGCTGCGAATTTCAACTCCGTAATATTCCGTTGCCGAACGGCGCGCTGCGTGTTCTTTGAATAGACGTTCGGGGTAATTAACAGTACAAATAAGAGTGTAAACGCCGACGAGATAGTATTATCTCGTAAGGTCAATTGAGGCCGGCGCGCTAAAACGGCCCCGTATCTCGCGCGCGGATCGCGTCGCGATCGGCTAATCTTCGCCCTCGCGATTGAATGGCAATGTCCGCGCGAACGAAGGTAAGCGGGCGATAACGGGGCTGTCATTGGACATCCGCCGCACACGTTACATCATTGTGTTTTCGTCGCACACGATAATTGGCATCGCTTCGTGAACCTTGGAACGGGTAACGCACGCGTTCTCTCGCGTTTAAATATAACGTCCTTGACTCATATCGATTCGCGCCGAAAGAACAGCCAGTGCCAGATTAACATGAAATGCTGTGCGCCGCCGAAACGAATGGTAATCTTGTTCCGCGAATTTTCGAGTTCCCGAGATACCGGGACAAACACGGGAAAGCCCATTAACAGCTCGCGCAACAGAAGAGCTTTTTTACCTCGTTTTCTTCGTATATGTTAAAAAAACGCAAGGAGGAGGAAAATTTTATCAGCGTGAGCGCAAGCATACACGATGCGTTTGCGCTGCTGTTTTCCCTGACCGTGTCCCGGAAAATCACCGGAGATATCAAGATATTTGTAGTGATTCATATGATGAGATTATTATGATGCCGGCTTTCAATGTCGGCTTTTCGATCAACAATATTCCACGTGGCAAACGTGGCAATTGGTAACAACACAGAGTTGGGAAATTTACTTGGTAAATATATTATCGTTACTCGCTGCCGTTCGCCTTTTCGAGCGGGTAGAAAGTATCGACCGTCGATTACGATGCAAGAGGAATGTAATACTGAAAATCGACGACCTTTCACTGACGCACACGGGACGGTCCTTCTTTCCAGCATCTGCGTAAAACGGGGAAACCCGTCCTAAGTGTACCGCCTCTTAATTCCCCGCTGACCTGCTTAAGCCGGAATAAATTTACGAGCTCAGGTATTGGTGTAATGCATAACTGCAGGCTATATCCTGCAATGGCCTCTCTGGAGATCCATTTACTCCGAGGAACTCTAAAATTGCTCACTTCTAAAATTGCTCTTCGTTCAAAATCGTCGTACGAGCGTGGAAATTCGAGGTAATCACGAGATTACGTAATGTTCGCAGGTTTTCTAGAAATTCGTACTGCACGTTTCGTCGGTTGTGCCTTAGTGTTACTTTACATCGCTCACAATTGGCAGTAGTTTGTAAATTTTGTGTACAGACCTTTATTTCTATAAATTCAGAAGTTATTTTTGTTATAAATTCGCAGATTTTCACCATCGTGATTTTGACTGCCGCGTGCTTTGCCGGCTGAATTTCTATTTATTTACTTGTTTCATCACTACATAAACGGGGAATACTCTTTGATAACATAGAAAGCATAACAAAAACAGTTGCAGAGATAAGAATACTCGTACGGAGAACATCAACTCAGATCAGAGCGAAACTTAACTTTTCCCGCAACGAGATGACGGACATACTAAAAAAGTCAACCGAACCGAAGTCATACCTTCGTATTACTTATATTGCTCATAATTCGCAATAGTTTGTAAATTTTGCATAGACTTTTATTTTTATAAATTCGACTGTTATTTTTTGTTTCGTCGGGAATCCGCAGATTTTCGCTATCGGGATTTTTACTGCCGCGCATTTCGCCGGTTGCATTTATACGCACCTCCATGTTTCCTATATTGCTTATTATTGACGATAGTTTGTAAATTTGATATAGACTTTTATTTCTATAAATTCGGCTGTTATTATTATTCGTTTCGTCGTAAATCCGCAGATTTTCGCGATTTTTACTGCCGCGTCCTTCGTCGATTATACTTTTATGCGCTTTCCTGTGACCTGCATTGCTCATAATTGGCGATCGTTTGCGAATTTTGTTCGAACCTTTATCTCGAAAATTTGGCGGTTATTCGTTTACTTTCTCGTACAGATTTTCAGTACACGACGAAACTTGACAATTTTCAGCGAGGATCGAAAGTCGGTGGCCACGCGACAATATTTTTCACCGATTATCGCCCGGGACGCGTTAACAGTCTCCAATCTTTATATCTTAATCGTTATCTGCTTAAACATTATCCTATTTGTTCTGCTGCAAGAACGGGCTGTCGCGTATGTACGATAAGAGGTGCGATAAACGAAATCGCCTCACGTGTGATTCGCGTGATAACGTTGCCCGACGAGCGCTTCAACGTAAAATCGCGCGACGCCGCGCGGCTGCAACTTACGAATGCTGCGAATTTGCGTTTCTACGGCGCGTAATAAATGGCGGAGTCGCAAAGTCGAACGCGACTGACGTTGTGGCCGTTGTCGCGTGTCAATAACTCGCGGTGACGAAAGCGCGGTCAGTCAGACACGCGCTTGTCACGAGTACGAGAGGACGTCTCGGCAGAGACGTCTCCTCGCGACGCCATTGCGTTCATTGATAGAAACCTTTTCCTCAGGGACAACGCCAATTCCGCGTATAGCGCGCAATTAATGCGACACAGGCAGGCGCCGATAGGTTACTATCGGCGGGCGACGCAATTCGTCCACTGCAGCGCGCAACAAATGGCTGGCACGACGGGGCCGCGCGAACGGAACGCGCGAATGGAATCAGCCGTACGCATTCGGCATTCTTTTCTGAGTCATGTCCGTCGGAATTCGGTCTTATCTGGCCTCTGGACTCGCGCCTACCATCGGCTCCGCCGCGCTGTGTTCATTCAATGTACACCACCTGTCTGTCGCCGCCGCGCACATCCGCATGCACGCACATGCACGCACGCAGGTGAACGTGCACGGCATGCGTGTATATATATATATATATATATATATGTGCCGAAGAGTGACGTCAACACTGGCCGCTTGGTATTTCCTTAGGCCACCGACCCGCCCAGGTAACTCCGGGTTTCACCGGACTCTGAGGGGAATTCCTGCTGTCGGGGACTTTCTAGCGTACGCAAAAAGGGACGAAAGGACGAGGAGTGAAATTCGTAATGCGCAGCGGTCTGAGACTATTTCTTGGTCAAAAGTTATTTTTTCACGTCCCGCCTCAGGTTTTGATATAAACGCAGTTTTATACGGTTCTATAGTCAAATAATCGTAAGTTGTTACCATTTATTGTTCTTTCATCATTTCTTAGTAAATGTAACGCTAAAAATATTGCTCATTTAACCGTTTGCACTCGAGGACTCCGGAGCGGAGCCATTTCAAATTTGTCTTCAAACTCGAGGGCTCCGCTATGGAGACAATGCAAATAACATTCAGTTCATAACATAAGGACAAAGACAAATCGTAAAAACTATTGTGTATAGGATATTCCGCTCTTGCTATTTGCATTGTCTCCATAGCGGAGCCCTTTGAAGACAAATTTTAAATGGCTCCGCTCCGGAGCCCTCGAGTGCAAAGGGTTAAAGATAACTTCCAGTCACGCTGTTAAAATTGTGCCACATATTATATTATTTTAAAATAGTGATGGTGTCATAAGAGACCATAATTCTCCGATCAACTTTTGAAACCGAGTTTTAATACAAAATATTCTGTAAGCTTTCGAAGAAATGACAATTTATTTTCTCTCTTTTTCTTATCTAATGTCGCGTTTGCGTTTACATTACTTGGACTATTTATGGAATACGATTATAAACTGTCACGGAAAGGTCGGGATAATCGAGGTCCTCGCTGTCCAAAATGTACATAGTAAGTTTCACAGCAAGATGCTTCTTGAAACTCTAGTTACGCTACTGACTCATCTTTCCGCTCTCTTAATCGTTGTTCGATTATTAGCCAGAGAGACGAGTAATTCCCCGTGCACACATATTCTTCGTCTTCCCCTCTGTCTAGACGAACTTTGCACAAACCGATAGCCCCCCTCTCTCTCGCTCTCTCTCCCTCTCTCTCTCTCTCCTTCCGTTTACATTTTTCATCAGTTCGACGAAACCGCAAAACAAACGCAGTAACGCATGCCTGCATATTACATATGTGTCTACAATATCAACGCGCATTTATCCGCCGGAGATTTACGACCTGTCGCGAAATTCGGCGGAATTCCCGCGCGGTGGATTGCCGGATCGATCGAATCGATGGCGTCGACATCGCGATTTCCTAATAACGAATCCTGTTGCAATCGTACTGTTGGGCGCGATAACTGTTTACTGACCGAATAACGCGAAGTCATCAAGAAACGATCGCTATTTGTTACATCATTCGAAAATGTGCGGTGTCACAGTTTGCCGCGGTGTTGCAACACACACACACACACACATATGATTGCTCACATACGCCGATCGTCCGTATCAAATATCAATAAAGCGAGGGCGCGTTTTTTCCGAATTACTTTTTCCCCGATGCGTTTATTGTTTTTTTCGCCTGTATCTCGCGCTGAAGCTTTTCCCTATGGGGACTCGCGGCAACCTCGGCAACCGCGATATCAGTTACGTTATCACGCAAGGACACCGCGATTGTGGTATGACGTGTCCAATATGTATAGGGACTATTCCGGACTATACCGTAGCGCTTCGTTTGATTCGCATCCTGCGGAGCTATTTTTTTTCCCGAACGACCGAAAGCACCGCGATAATAATTATCATCGGCCTATACACGGTAGATAAGGGGAACTTCTCGGAATCCTATTAATAAACTTTGAAAAGCGTGCAGCTGAATTCTACACTTCGCGAAATTGAAATGTCGCGAATCTTTCCTCGACAGATAAGGACACTCAATTCCGCATTTTATTCGCGACATGTCGCACATGTGTTTAACGATACGCTTCTCGATCCCGACTTCCGCTTGAATTAATGACTCCACGCCAGATGTACTGACCTTCGTTGATGTCATTCGCGACCACTTGCCACGGCCCGATCGATTTCGCGGCTATCGCCGCGGCGCCGCATCCTGCGCCCAGATCCAGTATCCTTAGAGCACCACCCTTCGCACCCCTACGTCCAAAAATCCGTTCTCTCTCGTCCAGGATGAATCTCCCGAGCACTTGTCCACCGGGCCAGTATATGGACCAGAACGGATCCTGGAATGTGGTCCTCGTCAAGGAGTCAAGTCTCCTATCGCCATCTTTGTCGAGAAAGGGCTCACGATACAGAGGACAATTCTCCGTCAACAGGAATAACTTCAGTTCCGGAGTCATGTGGTCGTGAGATACCTCGGTATTGTTCAGGATCGTCCTCACCACGTCTCGTCGGCTCTCTGTGAGTCCTTTAAGCGATGCCCCGTGACTGTTCCGCAAGACATGATCCCAGGTGTCCTTTGTGCTCCGCGAGAATTTTCTCGCGATTAGGCGTTTCTTCAAACAGGCGACACTTCTCACAATCATCGTCGGCGAAAACAAGAGCTAATTATAGCCTGTCCATTTAGCACACGTTGCTTTCTCTCTCTGTCTCTCTCTCTCTCTCTCTTGAGAAGCTCTAAAATAAACGCAATTCTCGGAGTTAAACCGATTGTTTGTTTTACAAGTGGCTATCGTAAGAAGAAAAGTATAATCCTACATTGAGAACTTCCGTTTCTCGATAGAAAGTCGTGATAAGTGATAATCTTCTCGGAAGAGTATTACGATTGCAATCCCACGTATAGATAATAATGATAAATTCTTATTGTATTTCATATAGGATAAGATTGCCGATTGATCGAGTCGCGACCGACTTGAGAATCTCGAGTAAGAAAGTATTTTGTTTGATACTGGTGCCGAAGATATCCTCCAGTCTAATTGGACGCGAGGACTTTAGGTGTAATAGATTTTCGAAATTTTCTGCTTTCGAGTTCAACATTGTACTCATTATAACACTGATAAACACACGAGCCGTGTTGACGTTGCAGTTTTTCTCGCAAGGAAATTACATTTACGCAAACAGCGTTCATAACTCATGGGTGCAATGGGGAAAAACATGCGCGCCCGCGAAACCGGTCGCGATTTTAACGTAATGTATTATTTATCACACATTTTACCTTGGAATAACGAGTGAAATCCCGAATAATGACGTCAAGGGGTGAAATAATTAATTTCACTGCATTTTCAACTCCAATTATAGTTTTTATTGCGCTAATAAAAAAAAGGTAACGAGCAAAATGCACATAAGATTATTATCGCTAACGTTGTAATGACACTTACCGCGGAAATGGGTTTCCCGACTACAATTACTTCATTGTCCAATTATAATCCCGACTAAACCAAACGTTTTTTTCTCAGTGCGTAAACATGAAAATATTGGAAAAACCGTGTGACCTGTAAAGAAATAAAACAAAATATATAAACAAAAATTTCGTAGTCCGTTGTTCCATTTGCCGAGTTTCGATACGTTTCATCTCGAAATCGAGACTTTAACGTTTTCTGATGCTGTCGTATAAAAAATATATGTACCACTTGAGTATTCTTAGCAACATTTATGGCTCTTACGGGGAATCAGCTTTACCGCGAAAGAACTTTGAAGGCGACAACGGTGTCCCTGTCCAAGACGTTTTGGGATTTCCAGCGATCCCGCTTGCAAAATATTCCTCGCTACTCGGTGAAACATCGCCGAGGACGCCTGCGAGGTTCTTGACCGGGAAACGTTTCATCGATCAACGTTTCTTAGTAAGAAGTAGGTCAAATAGCGAATCCGTTCTGCGAGGTGCGAATACGAAACTCCCGGGAAAGAGTTTTAGATAGCCTTGTCAAGTATATAACTTTTTCTCTTCTCTGTTCTTAGTGATCTGAATTTTCTGTTTAAAAAGAAAACGACTTTTCCGTTCGCGGAATAAAGATATATAGAGTATCAACTAGTCAAAATCGAGACCTTAGGTTTATATTTACTTCTTAAAACTTCGATATATTTCTCCTTTTCTTTTTTCTCCCTCTCTTTCGAAGAAAGCTTTATCTATCTATCTATCTATTTATCTATCTCTATCTAACGCCCTTTCTCTCCAGCGTTTTGTTTTAAATTGCAGATACGTTTCCTCATAGCTTATGCAATTTTCCATGACATAATTCCATTATGTCATTTTGAAAACGCATCTATTGCGCAATGTCTGTCGTACATTTTTTCGAACGACAATATTAATAGACCTGCACCAGTTATACCCATTAATACGAAACCCGTATAGCAGCTATAAAACAAATATTATTACGAAGGCAAACCTTCAGCTTAGGTGACCTTTATACAACTGGAACGCGGGTGGTGAAATTCACGTAATCGTCGTAATAATCGTTCATTTAATTAATACCATCCCGAATTGATCATCATTACGTATGGCTATTTGACGCTTAATTACCACCACTTACAATATCAACGCATTATTGTAATATGATTCGCCGAGTTACGCAATTTTGATATTTCGGTAGCGTTTCGGGAATCAAATTTAAGGAATTAGAATTAGAGTTGTTTGTAGAGTTTGTAAAGTTATTTTGTTACACGAATAATTAATATATATATATCGTGCACGCGTGCAGCTTAAAATATCATTATCTCATGTGTCTCGCACTTATTTGCCGCTTTTATTCCGCTTTTGGAATAACCGAGCCGTTAATGGAAACGTCCAGTTATTTCTCTCAATTAAATTACGTTTAATTATCGAGTATAGTATCGCCGAGTATAAAAATGAGGTCGCGCGCTTTGTGAAATTAATGTGCCGTCATACGGCCGCGGTTATTCGGTGCTGCGTCGCCCCGGCCATTCGCGGAAAGCGAGGAAGCTTGGAACGAGCGCGGCGCACACGGCGATATTAATACTTCCCCAGGTGGATATTGTTAATCCTCTTGGTTTCCGTTATCGTGGAAATTGTGCGATTGCGCGACTGGTGAAACGTAGTGGAACAAAGGCTTGCATCATCTCCCGGTCGGACGTATATGGGAGAGAGATATACATATATAGGATTGACATAACACCGTCACACATGTAATCTCGATCGGGAGCAGATATACGAAGGGTGATCGCTTCAAAATGAAGTTTATTGACCGTACTAGCCGCGACGGCGGACGGTCGACGTGGCTCTTTTCCTGGTCAGGTGTTTGCGGATGATGAAACTGGACTGAAGTCGACATAATGCACGTACATGGTGCAACATCACATCGAGGAAAGAGATTCCTCGTAAGTTTCGTGCTCTTCTTTTTCGGATGCACAAAGTGACTCGGACTTTTCGTCATTTCGGAGCCGCTTCTCGTCCGTACGGTAACTTCGAATTGCTCCGCCGACGATTGAATTAACGACAGGAATACAGGAGATTCTCAATCGGCGCGTTTCTCCGTAGCATCCGAACCATGCTCTTGTCGCAAGAAGAAGAATTTCAAGAGTTCACCTTATCTAATCTGCCGTCGTATTGAATTATTTGTCGGGCGTGTTTTGCGTGTTTCTTGATATTACGATCCTTCTTAGACGCGAGATTAAAGATACGCCTGGAACGACCCAACCTTGAAGGAACGTGTCACCAAGAGCATATATGTACTTTCAGATTTCGATTGTGCTCGGTACAGTGAACCTTTTGTCAGTGAACTTTAGAAAAGAGCGGTGTCACCGTGACTGTCCACGTGCGTGGGCGACACACTTGTCCGCGGATCGAAGAGGACGGCGATGAGATCGTTAGATAATCCACTTGAATTGATGTAACGTGTCGCATCGAGCGCCGCTTTTCATCCTCGTCGATGGAAATTTGTTTGCGCTGCTACTAAGTAATTATGTTTCCTAACACGCGACGCTCCGTTCCCGGTAGATTCCGTTGACATACCCCCCGTCCGCTGAAAGTTTCGCGATCTCGCGAGCATTTCAGACTGATTAGATCGTCATTTTCTTTTTTTTCTTGGCGCATTAAAGAGGTCGCTGTATTCATTAATAATCATCGTTCGTCGGAATCAACGACGACGTTTTTCGCGGAAATGGAAAATTGAGAACGGCGAGGTGAGAGATCAATACTTATACGTGCTTTCGCTTCGGATTTTCGCGTTGAAATTTTCTTCCTTTAATTTGACTTTATCGCAACAATAAAGGTAATTATTTCCAGTTTAGTTCTTTCGCGTACAGACGATAAAGTGATCCCGGTGTACTTTGCATGAAATTTACACGTTTCAGATGATAATGTTTTTACATATGACCAGTTCTGGACGTGAGAGATTTGGATATTTGGATTTCGTGGATTTCGAGAAGTGAAATTTAACGTCAACTAATTTTCTCCACGTCGCTGCGAACTTTGCGGCTGCGATCACTGTTCGGTATATTCTGACGTATTGTGGCGATAAATGTCAGATCAATTTCGAGAGCTTGCTGATAATTGTCGCGACGAGAATGGGAAAGCAATGCGAGATGTAAAGCGCGCGTGTGTTTTAGTTCATCGAATGCCTGGCATGCTTCGTTTCCAGCTAATGTATCGAAGAATAATTAATATCGACCTATTCGTGAAAAATCGAGTAACCTGCGCGACAATTCCTCTCTCACCTTGAACTTATGCTCAGCCGTTGTGTTTCGACGAACCGCTCGAGAGCCCCGCGGCACGCGAGCGCAACGCAAAAACCGAAGCCGTACTCGGGAAGCCCGACTTATCGATCAGTCTGCAACTATGTAGCGCGATGTTTTCAAAACAGCGTTACAATGAATCAGAGGACGCGAAACTACAATCGGCTTATTCCGCGTCACCCGCAGCATTTCGTATCTCGCGGAATTCCGCGCCAAATCAAATTACTCGCTCGACCTCCTCTCCGCATTATCGACTATCGACCGTCGACTTTCGTCACTCTCGTTCCCAAGTTTTTCAACGTAGGTCGAGTAGGTCTCACTGTGACGCGATTCCCATACCAATTCTATTTTGTTATTCAATCCGCTAATTTTCTACGTAAACGTCGATTGCATTGCTTCTTAACTCGAATTGTTTACCTTTCTCTGTTTTCGATAGATTGCGAACGACGTTATGACGCGCGTATTTTGATTGGTTTTCAATCAAGAAATATTTGTAACTAACACTGCTTGCGTAAAAGGGAATTTGTCTCGAATGTAATAAATCTCTTGTCTATTTCATCTTTTTTCTGTTTGTTATTGTCATTATTATTATTATTATTATTGTTGTTATTATTGTTATTATTAATGTATACGTATAATTATTTATGTCATTAAGAGAGAGAAAGAGAGAATACAAGTGATCGCAATTTTCTATAATTTATTATCTTATTTATTATTTATATCCTTCGTTGTAATTTATTATTTATTCGCCTTCGTGAATTTTCTGTGTTTCTGTTATGCATTCTTCGGAAATTTATGTTCTAGGAATTCCGAAAAAGATCGCTCCTCTGCTCTTTCTCTCTCTCTCTCTCCCTCTTTCTCTCCGGGAAATTCGACAACGCGCAGGGATCTAATTCGAACGTTTTCCCCTGACTCCCGCGCAGTCTTTTCCTCGGGTTTCCCGGTAAAGCTCGCGGCGGGCGTGTACCGATAAAAAGCTCCGTTATGTACATAGCGCAACAACGCGACGACGACAACGACGACTACGGAGGCGGCGGCGGCGGTTTATCCGCGAAGGTGACGAGCTGGTGGGGCAGGATCGATAAAAGTCGCGCGCGACGCGCCTCGAGGTCAAACGTAGACAGAAGCTCGTGAGAGAAGAGTCGATCAGCTAGAGCTACTCCGCGACATCTTACTAGCGTTTACGTCAGTTTGCGTCACAGCGAAATCAAGTGAAACCGTCTTGGAAACAGAGAGAGAGGCAGAGGAGAAGAGAAAAGCGAAACCTCTCTCGGTGCTTCTTCGTGCTTCGGTGGATTATCTAGAAGAGCGTCCACGAAAAGTGCGGAAAATTCGTCCCTCAGGCGTTACCGAGACCACGAAAATTCCGACGTTCAGTGAAGTGTGCAAGAGAGGCTCATTAAAGATTAAACCGCCGAACGAGCGACCGGAGATACTGACCGATATGACTTGCTGCCAGGAACCGCAGTCCTACCACGCGCAGGCCGCTATGAACGACAGGTAGATATCGCGACACGGAGTGTACAGGCCCGAAAGTTTCTCTTCCACGTGGCCATCGCGCGGCATTCTCGCATGGCGGTGCGTGTCAGAGCGCCAAATTTCGAAGAGCTGCGGCGCGACGGTCACGTTTCCGCCGGCGGCGATAAGAAGATGCTCGGTCACGGCGCGAACGCGACTCGATTTTGACTTCGCTGTCTTCAAAACTTCGCCCGGGTCGCGCAATATTTCAGACCTATCGTGAGGGATCTCTCTCGTCGTCTTCGCTACTTCGTGACATTGCAGAAATCGATTATCGTGTAATCTAAGACCCGCGAGAGAGCGCAATCTCGAGTTCCCCCGTCAGAAATCAGATAAATTCCGATACCGGGAAGTCGGTTTCTCGAAAGGATTATTTGCGCCTTCGACGCGGCGGGAGAAATTCTTATCGTTCTTTAATCAAAAGAAGGAAAAATAGAGAGAGAATAAAAAAAACGGTTATCTCAAAATTCACCAAGCCGTCCTCGAGTTGCGAAAGCAATTATCCAACGCGATCCATCAAAGCTTGCGGAACGCAATCTCCCGGGATTTTCCGCGCGCTCCACTCTCGCAAACGAGCGAATTAATAAAGTAGCAGCAGTTTCTCGCGAAATCGCCACTCTCGTCCCGGGTAATTCCGCGCTCGCCCAGCCGAGCATCCACTCCTCGCCGGCATAATCGAGCGGGCTTACGCAACGGCGCGTTGCATCGCGGATGACTGATCGAGAATGGCTTACAGCGGAAAATCAACATCGTGGTGCGAGCAGAAGGGCCTCGGCTGCAGCCAGGGCAGCACCATCACATGCGGCATGCTGCCGACCTTGCGAATGTTGGCCTCCCGGGGATGCAACAGCCAAGACAGCGTCTGTCTCGTGCCGTTCGACGTCGAGATGGACTCGGCCAGTCACCTGCACATGATACTGCTCGAGGCATATTGCCGTGAGATCGGTATCAAAGTGCTGAGGGTCTCCCGGGAGCGGATGCGGGCCCACTTATGCCCAGGTAGCGCGGACCTGTCGTGCGTCCTGATTACCAACGATGATCCATTTTTCCTGGAGTCGCCGGAGTGAAACTCGTAGATCTGTCCTTGAAGAAAGTTGAAACTACGCGAGACTACCGCCGTCTGGCGCGGTCCTTTACGCATCGGCCAAGGCATTTTGCTGGGGAGGAGGACGGCCGAGGAGATCCTCCACAAACCAAGGACGAAGGGGAGTTTTGTCAGTCCGGCAGACGCGACGTATATTTATGTGTATATGTGCCCCCCCCCCCCCGCGTCTTATCAGCGAGGATGCCGATTACCGGACATTTTTGTCTCAAAATCGCGAGATACGGCGGCGCCTGAGCCACGGTCTGGCGCGATTTATCGTTAAGACGGGGACGTACCACCACTCGAGTGACTTTCCTCGCGGAAGCACCCGGTGGCGGCTGGATAAGAAAGTGTTGATTAATGTATGTATGTGGCGCGTGTACAGCTCGCGATTGTTTGCGATTTGTCTTGAAGCGCGGGCTAAGTCCGCGCCCGGCTCTGTGTACTCTTTGTAAAACTCGACGGCGCTGAGAACGCGCGTCTCGAGCAGAGATAATGTATACACTTATGTAACAACACATGATAATAAGATTATACATGAAATTCGAACAGAATGCGAAAGGTCTCTCTCTTATTTTCCTCCACGCCTTTATTTATATACGCTTAATTATTTACCCTCCGCATATTTATCCACGTCCTTTGTGTATATGTCGCCTGCACACGGAGAAACATACTGCGTTCAAATAAATATTACTACTCGTTTCAAGTATCTCATAAGTTTTCGTTTATTCGAGATATATTCTCCGAATCCTGATAATTAAATTAAAACACTAAAATTAGAACTTCTCGGTTTACTTATTTCAATTAACCGAACTTTCCTCCGACGAGGTTCATAATATCTTTGAAAGGATCCTTCTTTTCAGTAAATGACAATGAATTTTTCTCATATCTGTGATGAGTTTATTTTAAGATATCAAGATCGATCAATATTATATCGCCAATATCATATTAATCTATTATCAAGAAAATATTTCTTGTTCACGATAAATCACATTAAATCATTACTTAAAAGAAGAAAAATAAACAGAGCAGTTGTTTCTCTTTACAGTATAAATAATGTTTTTTTCGCGACCGGTGCTCTTGTACCGCGTACTTAATTCACTGGAACTTATTCTTATAGCTCGCTAAGTACCTAAGGAACTCCAACATCACTTCCCTGGAGGAGTTAAAAATCCTGAGCGTGACGTGAGTAGGTACACATTCAAGGATAAAACGTACAGTTATACGCGGGTCGTGCACGTCTCGAGTGATTTTTCGAAAGAGAGTATACTTTGGGGGGGGAACGATCGCTTCTGTCAAGTAAATCGATATCGTCCCTCGGTTCTGTTCGTCGAGATAATTCTCGCTGTGGATGTGTTACTGTACTGTTGCGCGAGATGAGTCGCCGGAGATCTTTCTTTCATCATGACTGTTCCTCCGACAGACCCACTTCCGAGGTGACCTTTCATTTTTTCGGGAATTCCGATGACGGGGACAAGATCCGCGAGTCGCTAAATCGACTCGTGCAGCGCCGACGTCTCAGCGAAATCGCGCTGGAGTCCACGCACTTCACGTTCCAGCAGAAGCCCGCGCTCAAGTTGCAGGTAACGCAACTGGAATTAGCAGAACTTTATAATATCCGAGTATACCGGCGTACAATTCGTCCCGATGATTAAATGTCTGCTATTGAATTTCGGAGACAATAAAGCCCAGTTGAATCCGAGTCAACAAGTTCATCCGATTAACTCGTTAAGATCAAGATAGAGAATATAATTGATCGTCGTGTAATCCGAGAATCGCTGAGTCGAGTCACTTTTTAGAGTCTGCGGATCAATCAGGTGAACGATTACGACGTTCACTTGGGAGATCAGATCGTCTTGTCGTGCGCTGCTCAAGGAAGTTACGGCATAAACTTCACCTGGTACAAGGACGGCATGTTGGTGAACACGAGCAAAGCTACTAGGTATTTAATTTAATTTTGATTCCAGTTTTCCTAGTAACGATCGTGAGATAACGATATTAAATAACATTAAACGTTAAATCACGCGACGTCTCGTTCTTTAAATAATTAAGAAGCTACTCTTGGCTCATGTGTTCTATTCGTTTTGTCGTTTTGGGGAAATTTGGATGAGAGTTATTCAATCTCGATTCAATTATTCCTAATAACAATCGGGAAATAACGATATTAAATAATTTCAAACACGCGACGTCTCATCTTTTAAAGAATGAGGAAGCTACCCTCTCGAGTTATGCGGTTCTATTCACTTCATCATTTTAGAGAAATTTGGGTCAGTAATTTGCCGAACGACGGCTCGGACGTGTACCTGTCGGTGTTGACCATCGAGAAGGCGAACCTGCTCGATGGCGGCCAATACACGTGTCAAGTGGTGGATTGGGGCGTGCAGCAATGCAAAAGCGTCTACATCGAGATCAGGGATGAGCCGGAAGTGAAGGTGGTGCCGATGAGCGCCATCATAGAGAAAGTAAGCCGCGATTGTTAGATCCGTCGCGGATATGCGAAATCGAAACTCCGAGGGAGACGAATACCAATATCGTCAGACTATTGTTCGCAGGGCAGCAACATTCAATTGACGTGCACGACGCCTAACATGCGTAACATCGGGATTGGATTCGGTTGGACGAAGAATCGTGCCTTGCTCAAGCTGGAGCCCGGTCGGGCAATTTGGGAAGACTTATATCCAGCGGGCAGTATCCTGAAAATCACCAACGCTCAGGTAGAGACGCATCTTCGTCTTCTCACGTCATGGAAATTTCTTTTGTCTTATCTTACTTCTCTCTAGTTGTCTTCCGACTCTTCAGGATCTTTTACCGTAACTAACTCGCTTAATCAATCAAGTTGAACAGAATAATATGTACAAATACTCAGGCAAGACAGATGGCTAAGACACGTCTTGGAGACATCCGAAAGGTATCTAAAACCAGTAGAATGTCTTAAACGATTAAATCATTCACACGAAATAATTTAATCTATAAAATCATTTTTGTACAAGATAATACAATAGAAACAGTCCTGGCGCGTCACCTTTTGGTTGATATATTCTGGTATAAAAAATGTAATTTATTCAGTATATTGATACTTAGACCATCTAATAAAGTTATTATTATTATTATTAAACATTTACACTGTTCGGGTAATAATTTATTTCATTCTTCAAACGACCCGTTCGGCATTCTAGAAATCCGCGATCTACACCTGCAACGTAGCGCACAAGTCCATGTCCGTCCGGGTCGAAGTCATGAATCGAACTTTGATACCGATCTGCCTCGGCGGGAAGTCCTGGGGCCTGCAGTGGCCGGACACCGCTCCAGGATCGGAGGCATTACTGGAATGTCCTCGATACTTCGTGGGCCGACGGGTATCCAGACTCTGCTCGATGAAAGACGCCACCACACCCGAATGGCAAACACCGGACTTTTCGTCTTGCTTATACAAAGCATTGGTCTCGCCTTACAACAATGTGAGCACTTTATTCCCCTCAGCATTCCACACGCGATTTATGATGATTCACGATGACTTTAGAATACAGCATGCCGAAACAGCCTTGACCGACGTGGCGCGAAACATCTTTAATAAATTGCTATTTGTCAAACGAGCCAATATGGATAAATTAAGGGTCGCAGTAATATCTTTCGATGCGTCACTAGTCGCATTTCAATACTTATGACGATGCTCTATGCAAATATTTATTAGAGAGAGAGAGAGAGAAAGAGAGAGACCGATAACGACTTCATAAATTATACGACTAAATAAATTCAAAAAAAGACATAGAACTAGACACAGAATTAGAAACCCGCCACGTTCTCGTCGATAATTCTGGATTATGCAAAACTTTTTTGCTAAAAAGTAGCACAAATTTCTTCGATATTGGATCCGCTATTTTATCTTTTCAAATTGTTAGTGCAGATTTGAAATCAAAGAGGAAAGCCTAGCAACTCAAAAAATTTTACACATAAATAAGCCACAGTTAATTTTTATTTCAATTTAATTGTTATACTGAGAATCCGCCATTTAAATTTTTTTTAATTTTGACTTCGGCTGATTTGCAATCAGCAACCCTCAAAACCCCCATATATTAAAATTCGGCAAAATGTGTTCAATAGAGAAATTTGTGGAACAAGGGTTTAATTTGCGATTAATCGACCTATTAATTAAAATATATCAAAGATACTCTGAATTCCTCATCGAGGAGGTGTATCTAACGCTGCGAACTCGATCTATTTCGCAGTTTCGAAGTCTAACATTGGGTTACCAAAATATCACGAGCTCCGGGACGATCCTCGCCTTTTGGGAGATTCTGCACGAACGTGCATTACCGCTCTACCCCGGCGAAGGCGATCGTATAATAAGCATGTTGGCGGAGATCGAGAGGTATCAGTACAATATCGATCCGCTGGACGCGTACGTTTCCGCAGAGGCTCTGACTCACATAATAAATCGTATATTGAGCGACGAGTACTCAATCTCGAGTCAAGAGGTAAAGATAACATGGATTTAATGTTGGCAAAGAGAGGCGCCTCTCAGATAGCGCGAGGCACTTTTGAATGGAACGACCGGAATATTACAGTTATTCGTTCGGGACCAATAGGTGTAAAAAATTAAGAAGCCATGAGGAGCCAAGCATGAATGTTTTAATATCACTTAAAATATTAATAACGTCATTATATCAATATTAATTGTGGAAGGGTGAAATTGTCTATCGCGAATATACTGGATTGTTTCGGACGAACGAACGCACGCAACAGTCTTCCATGTATGAATCCGAATCTTTGAATCCCAGTAATAATCGTTATTAATTTAAAATCCTTCGGAAATTATTAAGTTTCGAAAAATAGAATAAGGTCATATTTTTTCCTCCCACAATTAATATTAATATAATGACATCATTGATATTTTTAATTAAAACATCCGTACTTGACTCCTCTTGGTTTTATATATTCTACCTTTACTTTTCATCGGAGACTCATACTTCAAACATTCAAGTTTTCATTCAAAATTGCGCCGTGCGTTTGAAATTTCACTCTTCTCTCTCCGACTTATCCCGAGGCTCGGGGTCAGACTTCAAGTTCGCGAACCTGGATTTTCAGAAGTTGTCGGTGCTGCTTCAACTTACGCAACGGAATCTAATTCACTGGTCCAAGCAACTGAAACACGTGTGCAAGCATATGGCTTTGTCGTCCATGGCTGTGGATATTCAGCAGCTGCAATCTCACAACGGGGACAGTATCACGCATTCGCTGCAGATGCCTTCGGCCGAGCACACGTAATTATTCTCCAGCTTTTTGTCCTCTTCTTCCTAAGATTTTTCTATCGACGTTATAAATCTACGATCTAAAGTTGCCTTTGCTTCTTTACGTCGTAAATGATCATGATTTATTCATAACAGGTATCCTGATTGGTATGAAGATAAAGTGGCTATACGTTTGTGGAAGAAGAGACAGCGCAATGTAAAGTCCAACAGCACGTTCGCCGGAATCGTTATCGTGTACAAAAACATGTCGCGCTTCATCCCAACGGCCTACGTTACGGAGCTCGAGTGAGTTTATTCGTTCGGTCTTTATTACAGCATGAAAAATCCACGAGTTTGCTTCAAAAGTAATCTAGCTATATTTGAAAAGATTAAAGGATTCATTTCAGCTGACCGAATCGGCGAATGTGAATTAAAATCAAGGGCAAATTTTAGCGACGGCACGGATCTCGAGTTTCGCATCAATTCCCGAGTGATCACCGTGGCGGTGCCCTCCTTCGGGGTCGACAAGTACAGTAAGATATGGGTCGACCTGCAGATCCGGCACTTGCAGAACCAAACGAGCGGCTGGAACACGTCGTGCGGTCTGATGGACAACTCTGGCTCGTGGGATCTCAACAGTTGCATAGCGAACACCGTGTTCGGCGACGCCACGACGCATTGTCTGTGCCCTACCGCGGGTACCGTCGCTGTTTTCTTGACGACTCGCGCGGTAAAAGTAAATATAGTTCCAACATGAGAAATTCGGCACACCTCCCGCTGTCATCCACGCTTCCGCGCTGTTGACGATAAAAATCATTAAGAATCATTTAATTAATAATTAATACGAAACATTAATTACTAATAACTTGTTAGGAAAAATTAATAATAACCCAATTCAAGAGGTTCAATTTAAGTGCTGAAGCGCTGCCGTTTATAACCGATTCTTCCAACATTGCAGGTGGTGTTGGCAAAGACGGAACAGACGACGTTCATAATAATATTCGGATGCAGCAGTTGCTTGGTCCAATGTTTGTTGTCCGCCCTGATATTGGGCACCTTTTGGTGGAAGCACAAAACCTGGCTGAATTTCTTGAAGCTCCAGTGCTGCGGCGCGTTAATCGGCGCGATGGCCATCTTCATTTACGCCGTCCACGATAATCTGCCAGAGGTAATCGCATTTTACCTGCGTCTACCTGCGGATTTCTCCGGATCATCACCAACTCCATCGTTATGCGTTGCAGTCTTCGTACTCGCTCGTGGCGATCGGGTTGGAAGCGTTTCTCCTCGTGGGCATGTCCGCGCCCATCTCCGAGGCTCTGATAGTGTACGCCGAGCTCACACAGATCCGACCTAGTCAACACTTACAACCGACAGTGATCGCCGTGATAACCGGTGAAAGTTACATCCAATTAATTATCCAGTACCACAATTGTGCATAATTATTTATTTCGTTTATTTTTCCATGTATTTTTAGGCTCTCTGCTTTCCCTATTTCGACCTAGTGGATCTAACGAGTTGTCCTGTCACTTACGATTTTCCATTCGTATACTAAGTTGTTTTTTTCTGTTAATAAAGATTATTATTATTCTTAAAGATTATTATATTCTCAAAGGTTTGTCTCCGACTACAATTTGATTTAAAGGGCATAGAAGACATAAAATACCTTTACTATTGAGAAAATTATATTATATATTTTATATATTTTAATTATGTATTTTAAGTATTTGCAGTCTTTTGTATTTTCTGTTATGTTATTGTGTTAAGGGTAAAGTTGTTTGAGATTCCGAATTGAAAAGAGGTGAGGTGATTCCTTTCATTATTTTTATCATTATCGTTGTGAAGAACTGCGAGATCGAGAGGTCTTGTAATTTCGAAACGTCTTCAATCGGCACTTTTACACTCAGGTGTCCCGATTTTGGCCGTGTTCGCGACCGAACTGACGCACCAGAGCACCGGATGGCGACACGAGTCCTGGTGGCTCATTTACGGCAGCGGCGTCTACAACATATTCGTCAGCTGCGCCACGATGATGTTCCTGGTGTTCATATTGCTGTACATGGGGGTGCTTCACAAGGTCCACACGTTGGTGGAGGAGAACGTGATGAAGAGGGAAGCGATAGAAACGAGGTGCGCATGAAGAATCCAATGTGTTCGATTTGTAACATTTTTAAGTGTCCTACTTATAAATCGCTACCCTCGCTCTTTGCCGCAGGATACGAATACTGCACCACGCGGCTATCGTCATATGCGGCATCGTCGTCATGGAGTCGTCGTCCATCATCTACATCAATTCCTCGTCCATAATCTTCCACTACGTCTTCGCGTCTCTGTCATTCGCTTTGGTGAGTGTCGCCGTCGTTCGATGCATACAGCAACTACGCAGCGACTACGTAATTACTGCATTATTCAATGCATCAACGTAATCAAGCGGTATTAACCGTCGGTTCTCCGTTTGCGCAGGGCTTCGACGTAATAATCGTGTACATCGTTAACGCCGATGTTGCGATTATCAGGCCGATGCTGCGGAAGATCAGGTGGAAACGCGGCGTGGACGAGGAGCACACGTCCGAACCAATCAAAGGTGCGTACTGTGACTATGTTTACACGCCGACCTAAAGCCGATTTCGTACCTTCCGTGATCCATAAGTAGCGTAGAGCCAGTTGTTTCCGCTGGTGAGACTGTCGATGTTACGTGTGCCGTTTAATTGTGTTCTAACCGCGTTATATGACGCATAATACTAAACGGGGGAGGAAGATTGCTTGAATTAACGCGACGAGTCTTAGTGGTCGAGTCTGGGCGCGGAGTAAATACGGATATCACTTCCCATTTATGGCATCAAAGACGTACAATAGAAGACCTTCGGAGACTTAACGTTAAACTAAACAGACTTGTAACGTAGAACTGAGATTCCGACTGGGCTCACGTCACGGTAATAACAACCTCGTCAACACGGTGTTCGCCGCAGTGTGCTCGAAAGGCGACGCAGAGATGGACAACGACTCGGCGACACCCCCGGCGGCGGCGTTGTCGATCTCCGGCGAGCCGTACCGGGAGGCGCGCGGCGTCGCCGCGGGCAGCATCGACATTCGCGAGTTCGTCTCCGAGTCGTCGTCCGTCGTCTACTCCGGCAAGTCCCCGGCCGTGGCGGCGACCAGCAGATTCCTGCCGGAGATCCGGGTGGACCGTTCGGACGACATCGACCTCGAGAACTACAGCACGAGCCCGCGCAAGTATCAGGAGCCGGTGGTGACCGCCGCCGCGGCGGTGGCCCCGTTCACGGCGCACCGTGGCTCCCGTTGCCTCGTCGACGACGCGGTCAACTACGGCGTCAGCGACTGCTGCAGCTTCCGCGGCGGCAACAGCGCCGGTAACAGCGGTAACCGGGACGGCAAGGTGTTCTCGCCGGCGAGCGGCGTCCCGTCCGACTGTCCCTCAGCCAAGGTGCTCTGCAGCGCCGACGTGGAGTCGCGGCTGAGCACGATGCCGGACGTCACGCTGGCGGTGAAGAGCGACGTCGAGCTGCTGGCGAACGCGGAGCTGAAGAGCCGGGAGCTGGCGGTGAGCGGCGCGATGCCCGACATCGCCAACACGAGCGAGCGCAAGCAGCCCGACGGCGAGGAGAAGAAGACCCCGGAGATCATGGTGACCGGCTGCGACAGCGCGACCAGCGGCATGCTCGACCGCATCTCCCACGACCTCGACTATCTGCTGAATCGCACGCACGCGAAGGAGAGCGCTTGAGCGGCTCCCCGCCGACTCGAATCGGCCGAGACGCGTAGCGAGAAAGCGCCCACCTTGAAGAACCACACCGATCAGCAGGTCGTTAACGTTTGTACAAAGGAACAGAGCTCGTTCGCCGGCTCGAGTGTGTCGTTCCAGGTGTTCGTTGATATTTCTCTGTAATGGGGACTCTCGACGCGGGAGCTCGTAAACGTAAACGTGATATAATCGTACTCGGAAGGCTGAGGCTGGGTCTACTCAGGTAGGGTGTGGTAAGCCTTTGGCCTTTTGCTTCTCAACGTTCGATTGTGATGTTTTTAGTAAAATGCGTTTCCAACGCTACCAGACACCGACCACGTTTATCTTACAACCGTTGGAAGTTTTCTGTTCTGGGAGATCGGGTTATTTCTGACAGATCTGATAGAATAATCCGATCTTAGCTCAGAAAACTTCCAACGGTTGCAAAATAAACGAATATACAAAATAAACGTTCTGCTGAACGTGGCTAACATTGAGGCCTGCGTTGAATAGAGGAAATAATTCGGTGAACGCTTAACGGGTTTTAAGCCCGATTGATACATCCAGGAGGATGTGTCAAGGATCTAAAAGAATACTCCAATTACGGTCAATAATCACTAAACGCTCACCGAGCTTCTTCCTCTGCTAAACGCATACATTGCAATTTCGAAGGTTAGGCGTTATTACGGTTCTTGATAGCGCGGGAAACGCTTTTCGCTGGAGATTACGTTACAATTCAATGCTTAAAACGAAAGAATAAAAGCTCACTACATCTATTGTAGATCCGGACTAAAAGCCAAAATGTAACGGTGAATTTTACCGAGCTCCGATTGAGTTAGTCGACGATTTCAAATTACTGTCAGCCAAGATTACCTGCTATATCTTGCTGATGCAGATAGAAATTATTGACTTTGATCGTCATTGAATGACAAGTTACAGAATTGGAAATTGGCGTGGACGCTTCTTATTATTCGTCGATTAGTTTATTCAGAGTTCGGTAAAAGTCACTCTGAGGTGCAGCGACGTGCATCGATGGCCGATAAGCGCGTTCGCATTCACGACGCTTTGTAACACGCGATTCTCCGTTTTTTTATTATCTTTTTCCTCGTGAAACAAAACAGTCGAGCCGTACTATCGAGCGTCTAAGCGAAGAACACGTCTCGCGAATGTGATAAGAAGATTTAGGTCTGTATTAATAGTCGCCACTTGAAGCTTGTCTCATGTGAAACACCCAGATTTCAATTCAGTGTTAGATTCGATGTTATATCGTATGATATATTTGACACAAATATATCCGTTATAAATTGTATGCTGTTCAACTGAAAAGCTCGCACTTCAATTCAAATCTGAGTATCTCTCATGAGACAAGTTTTCGAGTAACAACTATTAATACGAGCCTAACTCCCTGAATTCAAGACTGAACATCTCACCCGAGACGAGTCTCAAGTAAGTAACGACTGTTAACACGGACCTTAATCGCGCTGCGAAGCGCACGGCCGCAGTAATGCACGTCATCGCACCGGTCTTTTCTCGTTTCTTACATTGTCGCTTAAAATCTAGCGCTATCCCGCCAGACCGAAGTCGTACGTAAGATAATCGCCGATCACGAGTCGGTTATAGTTGTAAGAGACCGTGCGAAAGATGATTTATCATCGCGCTTCATCCGTGTCAAAGTGTACGTCAGGTGTGCGTGATCTCGCGGTTCTTCGTGCTGCATTATGAAACACTCGTGCTTACGTCTATCGAATGTCGTAAGAAGACATCGTCCCTCCATTAAACGCGAATATCAAAAATAAAAACTGTAACTACGTAAGGGTTTTAAATTGGAACGCATAACGTAGGCGCTCGCGAAGCGATGTGTAGTCCAAGTAATGGTATATATATTGTGGAAAAAAAAAAATCTCCGAGTTAAAGTATTTATTTATCACTGTCATCGTACAGCCCTTTCATAATATCCACGAGTCAGTCGTCGCGCGCTTTTCTTCGTCATTTATAATTTGCATTATAAAGCTATACACATTCAATTCAGTTTTGATAATCTACTTACATACTTAAGATCGAAGTGTTTATGTTGTTGTTTGTAGTAGTTTTACCTCTAGTAGGGTTAGTCGTTTACTTAATGAGAAAATGCGTCACTGAAAATCGATTCGACGGAGGTATGAAATTGGAGCAGTATCTCTCTTGGCCAAGCACGTGTTATAAATGCAAAAGACGTAATAAGATCTGTGTTAGTCTGTTAGCACTCGAATATACCTATATGACTAGTTTTCTGTGTCAACAGATTTTTCTTAAAAATATAAAGTATTTACAAGGATTTCAGCTAATTTTATCGAGATTTAATAACCTTGGTTTAATCACATCAATAATACCCAAGTATAGTAGGGCCGTGGCTTCATCCGAGTTACCACTGAAGATCTATTTGAGCCGGCATTATATCGCGATCTGGTCTACGTGGAACTAAAAAAAAAAAAAAACAGTACGGTAAACGAACGAGCATGCTACCTTATTACCTCCCCCTCCCTCTCCTCCTCTCTCTCTCTCTCTCTCTTTTCTCGGCGAACTTTCACAACTTCGCTCAACTCAACTCTCACGCTTTAGACTTTATGATATACACTGAGTATTTTGGCGAGAGAACGACAAGAGCGGCGAGAGATCGAATTCCGCCCGAGAGTGTATTCAGGCTCCCATACGGTACTTTCTTTATATTATTTTGTCGACGATTGTACAAAAGGATAATTTTCTACACATGATTGAGTGTCGATTGCAGCCGACTTGTACGCGCGAAATAAATCTCATGAACGATGAACGTCGTCATCATCGTCGTTTTGCAAACGCAGGATATGCAATCCCGATGTTTTCACAATGTCCGGGATTCGTGATTTATTTTTTTCCTCAACCTCCGCGTTTCTACGAGAAGACCGTTATAGAGAACATAGCATATAAGCTCTCTCTCTCTCTCTCTCTCTCTCTCTCTCTCTCTCTCTCTCTCTCTCTCTCGTTTCCCCTCTTATGATTGCATCCCGATGAGTAGATTACAACAGTTAAATATCAAACTGCACACACACAGCTGCGTGTGTAGATACGAATCGATAACCAGCGTACTTCTAACTGCCCTCTTAATCGTACAATCACAAGTATTTGGTCTTTTTTACATTAGATTCGTACATTTTTTTTTTTAATTTATTCGCATACCTATGTAATGTAAAAAAACTCTAGAATACAGAGAACCAATGTAACCTGACAAACAGAGTCATCGCCCCCGACAAATTGAAACGAAAGTAAAGACGCTAAGCGATTCCTAATTTCTTCTTTTCTTGTTTTCTTTTTTTTTTCTTTTTTTTTTGCAGTCATAGTCAGCTTAGAGGTGTAGCCACGGCACCCTCCCATCTTTACTTCCATTCTCTTTCGCTTTCTGTCCCGCCTCCTTCACCCTTTCTGTTTACTTAAATATAAAAATACATAGCCAGTCTATACATAAAGCGTGCAAAGTGGCACAGTGAACTGAGTTATCAGACGTCCTGGATGGTTAACTGCCGCTCTCGGTGATCGTCGGCGGTTCTGTGTCGTCGTGAAGCTTACTCGTTTTGTTACTTGACACGGGTATACCTGAGGTTTTTGGCAGCAGGTTAGTTGCACTATCACTATTGGACGCTGCGGCGGCGTTGCACACGGAATTGTCGAAGTGTTGCAAGCATGGAAATTCCGGACCAGGCAGCAGTAGGGTGGTTTGAGTAGGAAGATTGGTTAACGATACCATTCCCGGCGTTACCATTTGCTTGTTGAAGTATCTCCTCAATGCCTCTTCGATTAAATTGGCTATTTTATCACGATCGTTCTGCAATAGTCATGTGTAAAATGTGTGTGTCCTAATTACAAGCATTTTGCAATCTCTCTCTCTCTCTCTCTCTCTCTTTCTCTCTCATTCTCACTCTCACAGATGCAATCAATGATTATTAGAGGCTCTTTGCATTTTCAATCAAACGAAAAGTACCAAGCCGAGAACCGATGCAGGTTGAACGTTACGAGTGAAATTTAACATGACACATGTGCAATTTGTTTCATTGAGTGTCCAAAACTGCGACTTTGAAACGTTTGGTTCGTATGACGCGACGTTTTCGCAATATTCTTAGCAAGCTATATAATTAAAAGTAAATCCCGACCGCAACGTTCCTCAATGGTTATTCTTACAGATCAGGTGACACTCATCAATAACATAGGCGGCACGAGGGAGCATTTACCTCGTTAATAAAACCAAAATGTACAAGCTCCTGTGCGAGAAGCATCGAAGTATCCGTTTGGCTCACAGGACATGTTAACTGTCTATTCATCTTGTCATCCATTCGTAACAATATTGTCATCTGCAAAACACACAGATTTGAAGAATGCTTCGCTGTTTGCTGGCTCGTCTAAAAGCGAGTGTATGCTGAATAAACGAACAACAAATGTGTAACATGAATGTATATAATATTCGCGTATATAAACGGCAAATCAGCCCGTTCTGTTCGGATTCTTTATGGCGTACACATTTTCCAAGTGGTAAGAACAAAAGTATACTGCTCGTTCGCTCAGCTGTGACCCAGCTAGAGTAGGAATACTCTATGCGTTACTTACAAGTAATTCACTACTTTCTTCTCTAGGCTTAACATTACACATCATATTTACTACTCTTCGAGACTCCACGTCCACGGGCTCGGGTGTGACCGATTTAACCGATTCCGTAACCTCGGGCGATATCGCCCGAGGTCGAACAGGCGGCGGTAATTTCGCCATAAATGCAGTCAATGGATATATTCCATATCTAACAATGGGAAACGGTTCTGGTTATTAAGTTATCAGAGGCACAAACAATCTTACCTGACTGACATGACTGGCAGATACTCACTTTACATCCTCAACAAATTTTTCTAATTTTTCCGTAACGGGGATATCACTTAACCGAATTTGTTGCGGGGGCATCCCTTGATATTTTATTTCGGCAACTACGGTGTCTGGTCCATATAGCCTTTGCAACACTTCGTCTGTGATTGTTTCCGAAATGTTGGCTACAAAAAAATCGAGCATCAGCGCGCGAGTGATCGTGAAGGAAATCGCTCGTCAGTTTATCCTCTTAGAATTTACCCAACGCCTAACTATCTTTAGCGTAATCCTAGAGTGAGACAATTAATTCGATGTCGCATAGAGAGGGAAATTGCTCCTCGACTTACTGGCTGAATTGACCAAGGCGTGCGCTGCGAGCAGCTTAAGAGAGTGTACTTCGAACAGAACAGGGTGGAACAGCAACTCTCTCGCACTCGGTCTACTAAGCGGGTCCACCTGAAGACATTTACGAATAAAGTCTTTCTGTTGAACATCATCTAAAGATTCTATTGTCTTCCGGATGTTCTCTTCGGTAACGATTGTACCCGTATCACCGTTTCCCTGAATTTCCAGCGCAGCCATTTCCAGAGCGCACATCCCGAACGAGTAAATATCAATGGCTGGTGTGACGGAATCTGGAAAGGGAGAACGAGAGCAGCGTCAATCGTAGGATCCGTGCGACGATACTGCGTGCTGAGAGATCTACTCACTTCCATATTCTGGGGCGACAAAATGCATGTTCTTCATGTTCGCCCTACAGGTCTTGACGTGATGATGAATCGCATCCGGGGCCACTGTAATTAGAAGGAGATTATTGCCGTTTTCCCAAGGCACTCCGTCCCAAGCAAAGCGTCAACATAAAAATGACATATTAATGTGAAAGTATTCGACGAGATGTGTTAGAAAAACTTTGCTTTGTGGGGCAGCCACCAGACAGGAGGATTCTGCATGTAGGTAACGCGCAAAGTCAGTCAAAGCACGGGACTCGTCTAGTTTTTCCGGCAATCGTTTCCCGTATCTACGAATACGGTTTTTCAGTTCATTTCAAATCCGTATCTACTTGCGCTTTGCGGTGTCTGCTGGCTACTCGAGATGAATGAATAAACCTCTCTCTAGAAAAATTGTGTTCTGGCTGAAAATTTAACCCTAAGAGTAACTTGAGCCCTCATACAGTTAATAATTATCTCGCATGTACGAACGTGAAAGTGTCTCTGAAAAGAGAGAAACATGTTCCGTTTCTTTTTGGAAAATGCAAAATTCGCAAGTCAAAGGTGAGACGTTATTTCGTTCAAGCAAATAATGTACTCGCATATGTTACTCGTGATTACAGTGATTCTGCTGTGTGAAGAGTCACTTTCGTTGAATTGAAACAAATATGCGGGGAATGGAACCCTCCAAGAGGAAACCCTTCGAGGAACCCTTCTTAATCGGGGATTGAAAGGGTATGAGAGAAAAAAAAAAAGAAGAAGAGAGAAAAATACTGAAGTACAATGAAAATGCGTGCGCTAGGTGATTGTGAGAAGGACAAAGGGACGCCACACAACGCGAGCGCTTTGCCCTCCTTAGTTAAAGTACAATTAATAATCAGAAAGATAAGTAGTGCGACATAGTGGCACCGTAACGTAATGAAAATAAATCTCAATTACTTCGCGCAATTCTCTTCGTTTAATGGAACTACTTATAATTAGTATAGAAGTTGTTTACCTCTCTATGCCTAATTTACTTAGCTGGCAATAGTTGACGACACACAATCTGCCAAATGTTTTTTTCTTGAAATTCACCATCTTTGATAATTACACCAATTGAAGGACACCGACGTTGGTGGATTCTATCCTCCGGACGGGCGCGAAAGTACGATTCGTACTTCCTCTCTCTTCACAGAGGAGTTGCTGTGTTTTTTTCATTATCTAGATTATGCCTATTTGCTACAATTAAAAATGAGGACTCAAGTTACTCCTAATATGAAAAGGCAGTTTAAACACAATTTTTCTAATGGACTCATGTTACTAACGTTACGATAGGAATTATAGGGAAACGTGTTATAATCTAAGATACACGAGAAGAGAGAGCGACAAAATATATACATAGATATATAAACTAGGCACCATTTAAGTTCGTAATATAATTCGATAGAACCACATTCATTCCCGCGTGTAGTCACGATCAACACTCTACTATTAACGCATACGATATTGCGGACGATATTTACGCTAAAAATAACGAAAATTTAGCTATATACAAGTGCTTATTAGTAAACATCACGTTTGATGCGTTCCTGTTGGATACAATTATTAGCAAACATGGTTTCACAATATTCGTTTGGGCATTAAAAACAGAGAGAAGAGTAATGCTATGCCTTACAGTTGTAAGTATTCGTGATCATTTTCCCGGGAGACAAGTATATTCATTTATGTAAAGAAATAAGTATTTTCATGATGCGTGACGTATGCCTGTGTCACGTTAGGGATGTACCTATTCCGACACACAATAATGACAGATCATGTTATTTGTTACGTTGCTTATTCAGTCAACAGGATGAGTCATACAAATCATATTTACTTCAGCTGAGTAACGAATAACTAGAAAACATATGATACATATTTCCGGAAATACCTACTTCGCCTCTTGTACTTCATACATATATATGTAAGCGGAACGAATACCAGTACGAATATAGTTGTTATTTTCTGTTCTTTGCATTTCTCAGACAATTAGGGATCGCACGGCATAATATTTGCTTTTCTCCCATGAGAAATTACGACAAAACAAAAATATAAGCTTCTGAGACAATCCTGTGAATGAGAGAAGATGGGGATACCTAGCGTAATCTCGTCTTGCTACACAGCAGTTACTTCCGTACAAAAAGTAACGATTCTGTCGCGTGCGACAGTCTGCATTTCTCACAGTACATTACTAGACACAAATTCAGATGCGACATAGTATGAATACGCGCTATCTGAGCTTGTTTTGAATACAAAATGACACTCCCGTGTACATTTCATATTTGATGTTAGCAGAAAGAGCTCATTTTACTTTGTATGTTTTTTTTTTTCCTTTCTCTTACACGAGTACTTACCTGAACCAATTTTTACAAGTCCGTTATGTTGAATAAATATAGTGTCACAGGTAAGATTCCCGTGGATAATGGGAGGTGAACAGGAATGCAGATAACTGAAACATTGTGATATGTGTGAACAAACGTATGAATGATTGCTCGTTTGAGAAAAACGAGTCTTTATCATCTGATATTAAGTACCGTACGTCATATATATTATTTATATTACCTGAGTGCAGAAAGTATTTGCGTACACCACCGTTTCCATGCTTGTAGAGGCAACTTTTTTACATTGCGCTTTGTTCGTTTTAGGAACTGTTTCAGGGACCCGGACGACATATATTCTGTTATAAATATAACCTGGAGAATAACAGAGATGAGATGATTTTTAACGGGGACTCACACACGTGCACGTTCATTGGGAGAACTACAGTTTTCGTTGCGACTATAGTTGGATAATTAATTAATTCACTTACTCGGGGCTTGTCATTGTGGGTATCTGTCCAATACCTATGAAATTTAACAATGTTAGGATGCTCCAGTTGCGTGAGGTTTTCAAAAACAAGCTGTATCTTTTCCTCCTGGGCTTTGAAATTTTTTCTTTCCGAGAATTGCACCTCGTTCCATACCACCTCGACTCCTTCCTCCGTATCCATTGCCAGATAAGCACAATCGATTCCCGGAACATCGCTTTGTTCCACCTGTAAGCAAAGACGAGTCTCGTATCTTTGTTCCCTGGGCCGACATGTTTACAACTAAAGCCCATAACTTGTCTACTTTCTCCAGAAAGAAAAAAAAAGGTGATGAAGGTTCTGTCCCTATAAATTCTGTTCTGATACGATTGTCACTAAAGTATTTGACTTCCTCCGGATATTATCTTCGCATTCCTTTCTACTGTGAAACGTAGGAAAACTAAATTGCAGATAAAGTGAAGATAAACTGTGTATGTTAGGGATTAAATGAGTCATTCGATACAAGCTCATATCTATACTTAAGTAAGCACGCATCAAACCGTTAACGGAATTCACGGCTATTAGCGGAGTATACAGTTACTTCAGGTGCTACCTGCGTATTCTTTCGAAACAATCTACCAATCTCTCCGTTTATAACACATGAATTGTTATAATAATAATTGTAACATGTGATATTACTGTAGTTGTCCGACGTCGTTTCTTAGCTCGACGTGTTTATGAAAGTCACAAGCAACTTGTTTAGTTTCTCTAGAAAAAGAAACTATAAAGTTTTGTCGCTGAAAAGACTCACATCACACTCCCGGTGTGACGACTCGGATATATCAGGTATATCGTGCTGTTTAGTGCCACTTGTGACTTTAGACGATACTATACTGAAGACCCATACTTAAGCAACCCATAAATTTGTTCCTGATCCGAACCTACGGCCATTACTCAAGTATCTGACAACTTTCTCGAACGTTATTTTTATTTTTCTGTGTCTATTGTAAATGTAGAGATAAAGAAGCGGATGAGTTCATCAGATACAATATGATAATTTACATGTGCACACACACATATACACACACGTGTGTGTGTGTGTGTGTGTGTATGTATGAGTATGTATGTATATATGTATGTTCAAATAGTAAATTCTAAACCAACTTCATAATTTTCAATTGAATATTTGGTTATTTCGAGTACTCTCTGAGTACACTCATATTATAAGTGCGTGTTGCAGACTATGACCAACTCTGGGTGGGTACTTTCAATACAATCTACTCGTCGTTCTATATATAGCATAATGGATTGTATTACTGTAATCGTCCATTTTAAGCGTACTTAAAGTGGCGTTGAAACGATTTCATGCCTATTTACTATTACATGGATGTGACCTTGCCAAGAATCCAGAGAGGGGGAGCGATTCAGAAGAGAGGGTTCGCTACTGCAGATATTTAATAATGTGTCCAGCTTGCGCTTAATAGAATAATACGCTGCGAATTATTACTACCTTTACCAAAACTTCGTACTTTCTCTCCCCAACTTATTCTATATTTAGAAAGTTGCCTATATATACTATATAGCAAAAAATAAATAATAAACGATCTCTGTGAAGATTGGTGTGAAGAAATAAACCAACAAACTCAACACGACTCAAGACACAAGTACGGATAAACACAAAAATTAATTTGCCTTCTGTTCCCTAATGTACATACTTCCATTTCAGTGACTTCGTTTTCAGCTCCTCTTGTCGATCCAAAGTTAGTACCTTCAGCTATCGTGGATTTAGAACCTACATATACCTGAAATTGATATATTCTCTATGATTAACGCAAAATATGTGGATATATAGATATGCGAATGTACATCTTTAAATGCGCAAATGCACGTGACGTATGGCGCAATTTAATATCGATTTTATGCATATTTTATAAAAAAATATATATACATATATATATATATATTTTTTGTAAAATATGAAAATATATATCAAATATATATCAAAAGATGCTGGGAAGCGTTAGCGGTGTGAACCCGGTTAAAATAATTTAACTGATTTGCATATTCGATAACAAAATGTCAGTCGGTCTAATTTTAGGACAAATATGAAAGGGCCTAATATCGGTGAGATGTTTGTGCCAAGAATTCAGTATAAGCTGAGATGCAGATGAAGCGTGCTGAATAACGAGGGAGAAACGACAAGAGGAGTGGTATTCTAAAGAAGATATTTTGCGTCGCGCACAGAAGCAAATCTCTTAATGATCTAAAAGCTTTTTACAACAGAACCATCTGTGTACATATGTCCACCTGTATAAATGCAACATGAAATATACTGACATTTATTATACCACAACATCGAGACAAAAACGCGCTCAACAAATTCATATCAATGATACTGTCTTAATAAGATATCTATAAATAGCGACGAGAGGCATAGGAGCCTAAATAGAAGTTATAGTATGAGTAGTTGTATGTTTACAAGCTCTATGATAATTATAGTCTCCTGTGTTGCGCTATATATTGAAGTTTATTATGAAAACATTGATCTTTAAGACCTACCGGCATAATTAATATCATATTATAAATATATATATATACTTTCAACATTGCAATATATATACTTTTACCGCTTATAAGTTGCACACGCAACCAAATATTCAGCGATATCAGTAACAACCTGACGTCGCATGGAACAATTTGACCACACGAGTCTGATAATTGCAAGGATCTAAAATGCGCATAAGCCTCAGTGAATCAAGCACTCGGGGCCAATCCAAGACCTGCGTCGCCTAATCAAGCCTGCAATCTACGTTTAAGAATGGTAAATGCTTCGAAGCCGTGAAAGCTGAAAACATCATGATAGTTCCTAATATAAATCTGATAATGATCATGATAAGAAGCCACATTCAACCAGAGGCATCCAAGGAACATCGGAGAGGTCATTACACCTTACGGATAATATCGCATTATCCTTGGGACACTTAACATGCTTGCGAAAATTACAAGCTGCGAATATAAGCTGCAAGTGTAGTGCAAGCTGTAACATAGCTGAGTGAAAAATACAGCTATCTGCTATATACGGACAATAACATCATCAGCTGGGTGAGAAGGACACGTACCTCTTCCCTGCGCTTTAGCCACCGCCCGCATGGGCTCTCTTCCAGGATCTCGCTCTCATCCTCGGAATCTTCACCACTTTCCCGCGGTGACTTGTGCTCTGGGTCCGTGCTGGAGCGGCTCCCGGGCATTACACACGCTTGCGATTAGTTAAAGCGGCAGCGGCGAACAGCAGGCCAAACTCATCGGTGGCGACGACGTAGTGTCTCTCACTCTCGCATCGGGTTCTTGACGCGACTACGACCGGCAACGTACTGATACTCGGGGGGAAGAGCGAGCGTGCACGCGCGCGCGACGTAAGATGAGACAACAGTAGCAGCGGGTAGCAGTAGCAGCGACGTTGGCGTCGGCCACACGGCAGCGGTGGCGGCAATAACGACGGCAAAGGTAGCAACGAGGAACGTCACGGACGACGAACACTGCGTCTCGGCCGAGCGAAGGAACGTGTAGATACGCGACGGTCCAAACTGCACTCACTCGCAGTGACACATGCAAGTACACACACAGCGCGGACCGCTCTCGTCGTCCCCCGTCCTCCCGTCTGGCTGAGACCCGGAGCGGCGATATTTCTGATCTTACGCGGTGGACGGGCGCGTATCGGCGCTGCACGGCTTCGCTCAGGGACGCGCTGCGGTGCTGGACATCGTGCTAGCCGCACGCCTATCGCACTGTCAAAATAAAACCTCCCTATTGCCAGCGAGACTGCCTCGATGTGACACACACTCTAGCATTCATTTTCGCTGTGTCTTCGGTCACGTTCGCCCAGTATGGCGATCGCCGTGTCGCGTTCGCGCCGCACCCCTTTTGCCGTTACCGCGGCGCCGCCTGGCGGCCCGCAGCCGGCGACACGCTGATAACGGGACACGCGTCTACGCGATTGGACGACGCGGCTGGACTAGTCGACCCGTCTCGGCCTTTTAACTTTCGGTAGCCGTAAAGTCTGTTCCTTTACGCCGAACCGTATACTTGTGGGACTTGAAGAGAGACAGACATACAGTCGAGACTTGGTGGGGGAAAGAGGAAGAGAGAACTAGTGCAAGCTAGCACAGCCAGTTTGGCGAAAACGAACAGACCTAAATAGACACTTGAAACGTGCACTAGTCGTAGGGTCACTAGGATTTTTCTATCACACGCGTCGTCCCCGTGGATTCGCGCATCGTGATCTGCTGATCGAGGTAATTGCAATATTTTTAATTATACTTTATTTTTGATACGTGATTTTGCGTTTCACGTTACAAATGCCGCTATGAATAATATTTGAGATATCCCGGGCGTCCCTTCGAAACCTGATCGAACAAATCGATTATTACTTAGCGGGCGAAGTTTAATTCGATTTTAAATTGAGGTAATTAGAGACGATTAAGACAGCCAATGGGAAGTAAAAAGCAAGTGTGAACATGAGTTACAAATTCTAGTCACCTTGTCAGGGTAAATTCTAATTAAGCTAATTGACGTTTAACTCAGCCTGCAAAGTTATCGTCTGATTACAAATTACGTAGTTAGAAATTGCCGTTAGCAATTCTGCCAATTAATCGTCGATTAAATTAATGGGAGTTGGAGGGAAGTCACCCTCGGTTTCCTCGAATAATTTATAATCATGACGCACGAATATATAGGCATAAATATACTTATGATATTGGGTGCCTTGTGAGTATTCATATTGTATAATGTGAAATAGTCTTTGTGAAATCTTGAGAGGAATTCAAGATGGTCTTAAATATAAGATCAAATTATAAATACTGTGTATTTAATAAAATATAATAAATTATAATATGTAATAAGTTATTTCGCCAAGATTCAAAATCTACTTGACCGACGTTCAAATTGGTTAAGTTAAACTGGCATTTTCGTAATACTGCTAGATGGCGCCAAGAAGCCCGTTACTCGCTTTTTAGGCCGGCACCGTGATAAAATTGTTTGTTTGCCGTTGGGCGCATGCGCACTTAGCTATTGGATGCCGAATCAAATGCAGAATGCATGCTTACAGCTCAATACGCATGCTTCCGACATTCGACAGCGATATACGCAACGAAATATATCGTATATTTCGACTGTAACAGTGGATGAAGCCGAAATTTGATAGTTTAAATCAAAACGAATGTAAGAAATGGCTTTGTTTCGGTTGTCCTTTCAATGTGATTGTATATTTCACAGAGCTTTATTTAAGAAAGATTATAAGAAAAATATAAAATACGAACAAAACGGTAACGGACTTCCTGTTAGTATCTATAATCACAGTTAAGTATTCTCGGAAATGGCGGTCTCACACATCAAATCTGATTGGTCGATTCTTACGGATACATCTTATATTACGTTTACAGCAATTCATATGTCGAGAGTTTCGTGTGCATAAATACACACACACATATACACACAGTCAGCAGATTAAATTAATTGCAATATCTTTTTCTTGATAATTTTTTCGTAACGCATCCTATGTCCAGTAGAAACATTTGTTTTTTTAGTAATTCTCATTAGATATATTTTTCTATTTACGAAATGCGTTGCGAAAGTGAACAAAAAAAATGTTGCAATTTTTAACCTGTTGACTGAATGTGTATGAATGCGTACATACGCAGAGAGAAAAATCAATCGCTTATATATCTAATATAAAGAACGCGGGAATCTTTTATATTAAATCCTATTTAGCACAAATGCTCAAAAGATATCCTAGGAATGTGCCAGAGATATTCGAATATCTCTGTGAAATTTCTAGAATGTCTTTTGAACGTTTATACTATATGGAACGAAACGATTGGTTTTTTAGGCATATGCATTATGTATGGTTATGCAAATCCGTCTGAACAGACCTCAATAGCAGATTTGCAAATTGGCTATTATTCTAAAATCTAGTTCCGAAGTTTCTCCTACGAGCCGTCAGCGTGCCTACCCACAAATTGAGCTGATAGTACGGATCAACGGCAGGTCAGAGATGGATATTTTACTTTTAAACAATATAACTCAACGACAGGTCGGACAATCTTTTACTTTCAAACAATACAACCATGCGGTAAGTTGAGAAACTTTTATTTCTTCAAACACTACGACTCGATGACAAAAATCACCGATATATGGATTAATTATTTGCAAACGGCCAGAATATAATTACCTCTGTAACAAGAAAACCAATTCAACGTCGATTTATATTGATCCGACCAATAAATCTCTAAATGCTGTAACATATCTCTAACTTTGAAATACATGGTGAACATTAATTAATTTAATACATAAAACATTAACAGTAACGTAACATTCTTATTGTTTCCCCACTGAACAATGTAAATACGGTGTAACGCGTGCATTATGTAACAGTTACATTGTTGAATAGGAAATGAATAACGTTGATGTTACGTTACTGATAGTTGGTGTTTACTGGGTGGATACAGGTGGCGCTAACAATCAACGATCAGAAATACGTATCAATCCGCCCGTTCAATCATTCATTGATATATTAATTAATATTGTATTTATCCAGATACATTAACTCAGTACGTAATAGATTAGTAGGATCTTTCCCGCCGTTGTAACTGTTTTCAGCGCACTCTGGAGATGCGTCGTGATCTCTAGCCAACATTTTTATACAATACTTTCTTTGACAGAAGCGAAGGAACTTGAGATTTTCTTATTCTCCAAGAAGAGAAAGAGTTAATATCACTTGGGAGGGAGGCGGGACTTCACTCGCGACTTTTATCTTCCACTTATACTATGCAAAAATTTTCGCGAGCTTTATATATGTTTCTCTCTCTTTCTCCCTCTTCTTTTTTAACCATATCCTTTGTTCGACGAAAATATTTAGTTCCATGCAAATTTCCAACAATGAATGACCGATGAAGATGTTATTAGACCTTTAAATCTTCTAATATATCGCGAAATCCCAGATGTCAGTTCCCTGATCATATAGTCGCTGTCACCGTGGGCGTTCCGACAAAGCGACTGCACGAGGAAATATGAGGAAATTATACAATTTCCGGCCGCATTGGTGGGGCTTCAACCTTTTTTTTGTTTCGCATTGACCCATACGTTCGCCGTTAGCAACGTGCACTTGACGTTTGTCCAGTTATCCGCCGGCATATATAAAGCCAAAGCGATCTAGTCACTCGGGAGATACCAGGGTCCGCGATCAGCGATGTGAAGACTCGGGTCTGCGCGCGATGAAGTCTCTCACCGCTTGATTTTAAAACGGTACTTCGACGGAGCGTGTTCGTTTGGCTTCGTCGAGAATTAACGAACGATTGCGCGGAATCTGCCCTTCATTATCTCCCGTCTCAAAGTTAACGCACTTACACCTCGTTAATTATCGGCAATCGGATCGCACTACGTTCGCACGCGCTGTTTTTCGCACAAAATTAGCTGTAAAACCCGCCGTTGAATTATTTGTACATCCTCTCGGGTCATCCCGTGTGTACGGGGGTAGCGAGAAAGAGAAAGAGAAAGAGAGAGAGAGAGAGAGAGAACGAGAGATGAAAAGTGGAAAAAGGTGAAAGAGAGACGGAGAAGGTCGAAGGAAATACGCAGATGAGGAAGGGGGTGCGTAGCGGCGAACAGTCAGGCGGACGAAGCGGAAAGCCAGGCAGCGGCTAGGGGCGAGAACGCGCCGGGGAAAAATGGCGAAGGAGGAAACGGGCGAGTAAGAAGCGGGCGCTCTCTCGGGCGGGACGAGGCGGAAGCGAAGCGGAACGATCGGGATTTCAGGGGAGCGAAAGCGGCGCGTTTACGCTCCGCACCTCCGTCCTTCTTTCCCGCTCTGCCATCATCGGCTCTCTCTTCTAATCCTAATCCTCGCCACCGCGACGCGATGGTGGTGGGTACCGCAACCTCGCCTGCTTCCGTTATCCTTGTCTCGCCCGCCGGTGTAGCAGTCGACTCCCCCCTCCCCACTCTCCGCGCCTTTTAACTGGTTCTTCCCATACCACCCTCGGCCGATCGATGGTGACTCGTTCGCCCCCCGTCGCATGGCGCTAGCGTCGTCTAAGCGCCGTTCAGTCTGAACTCCGGTTCACTCAGTCTACGAACGTTTGCCACGAGACTTCGACCTCGCCGCATCGCCACACGCTATCATCTCTATCTCTCTCTCTCTATCCACCCGTCTGTCTTTTTTTCCGCTTTTCTTTCCCCC